AAAAACTTTTTTTCTAGGTCGCATTTTTCTTCTAATGTATCGAAAAAGCTCAGTGCTCAGATTAAACTTGAGACAACCTTAAATCAAGTGGTCTATTTTTCCGCTAGGCAATGGTTCTGGTGCCCGACTGGGAATCACCAAAGGCATATTTTTCCGTGTGTTTTTCATCTTGCACATTATCCTATAATTTTCTCCACGTCTGTTGTGCCGACTCTAATGATTGAAGTGTTTAGCAACCCATTACAGGGGATTTACGTTTTTCGCCCATCAAGTTGTGACGTAGCCGTTCGTGCTAGGCTATAATCTCAGGAGCATCCCCATAATATAAAAATCAGCTTGTTTGAACTTAGGGTCGCTGCCAACACAACATCCGATGTAGTATACACTGAACATCATCCCGGAGACCCCGCGTCCAGCATGTGGTCCGAGTCAAGGCAGATCCATTAAACATACAGGAATGTCCCCACAATATGTGCTAATATCAGAATAGTAGCCCCCGGCTGGTACGTTAATGGAAAATTTAAGTGGCATTTTCAAATACACTCAGTGTTTGAAGCAATATCCTTCCTGATCAGCAATATTTTTGTTTCAATAAGCCTAGCAGGTATCGTGTTCGCTCGCCACGCAGGAGACCCGAGTTCACTCCCTGGGTTGAACATCACGTCACAAAGGTGACACGGCTTTTAATATTTATGTATGTCACAAACTAATTGTTTTATAGGCATTACATAGAAGTTGACGGATGACAAAGTAGACACAATTTGTGGATAACAACCTTTTTATTTGACTGTGATGACGACGTTTCGGTATAGATCATTACACCGTTGTCAAGCATGGTTTGACAACGGTATTAGGATCTACATGTGTAAAATAAACAAGACTGCATGACATCACATTTAATGTGCAATTATAGCTTTCCATTCTGCGCACATCATCTAGCGATTTGCCAAGTGGTGTAACGAACCCTTCCTCTATATAGGGTGGTTCTTGTCTCTCTTTGCTCTCAGACAGCCTTAAAGTAAAATGTCGTATTTTCTCACAATCAGCCATATTGCAGCTTCGTGGAATCGGCATGTAAGTTAACGGAGTCGAGATCAGAGAAAGCTGTGCATGGTTGATAGAGTAAACAACGATCGGCCCTTGGGGTTTCCGTTTGATCTTTGACGCCGCACTCATCAATATTCCAGCAATATGGCGGCGGTCTGTAAATAATCGAGTCTGGACCAGGCAATCCAGTCATTGAGATTATGAGCATGACGTACCGTCAAGCGAGCCAGACCACCCGATCCATTAGGTCACCCCTTATGACCAGCGTTGGCTGCGGCGCATATCAACAGTGGAACCAGTTTAACAGCCAGCTAAGGTAGTTGGAGACCAATCTCAACCCGTAATCCCCACGGGGTCTCAATTTAGTCGCCTGTTACGACAATCAGTGGAGTGTTGTGGACATATTCTAGACCCTGGTCCCACGGGATGCATGGGTTACTGGGGACTGTTCTCAGGAATCCCAACGGGGGCAGCTTCAAATCAACATGACAATAATGGTAGTTCAGGGCAAGTAAATACTTCTCACTACCAGCCCCTAAAGGTGGCCGGGGGCACGTGTGGCCCAGTTGTCTAAGGCTCCGCGATTCGCTGTACAGAGTTGCGTCCCTTGGGCACGCCAGAAACCTATGATTGTGGATTCGAATCCCGGTTCGCCCCGATTATGTTTCTAGGATTGTTAGCACCATACCCGTGCTCGTGGGTTTCACCAAAGTGGTACACGTCTGAGACCTGCGTCACTTCGGGCTTTCCTCCCACATTAAGCTGACACGCCGCGATATAACTGGAATACTGTTAAAAACGGCGTTAATCCCAACTTACCCACTCACCTAAAGGTTGCCATGGACTGGTCATTTCATTAAAGGCATAGGTATAGATTTTGTGTAAACACCGGGAACCATACCAATACTCAAATAGGTGAGGTGAAATGGGGTTTAACGCTGACTTCAAGATTATTAAACTCATATAGGACCCGTGAAGATCCGGGGTAGAATAGGTCTTCAGCAACCCGTAAAAGGCGACTGTGCTTGTCGTAAGAGGCGGCAAACGGGACCGGGTGGTCACTCGATGACTTTGTTGATGCATGTCATCGTGTCCCAATTGCGTGGATCGATACTCATGATTACTGGATTGTCTAGTCCAGACTCGATTATTTACAGCCGGCGTCATATAGCTGGAATATTGCTGAGTGCGGTGTTAAACAACAACCAACCAACCAACACATATATAGGCGTGCCTACATTTACGCGAGTATGTGACTGTTTGAACGGGTCTGAACTTATGCCGTTTTAACAGTGCTAGCCCATCGCGATACCATGCCGCAGTGTAATATGGAACCGACCAGTCCTTGTTTTATCCCCTAAATGCCGAGTGCCAGGCAGTGAAACAACAAGTACCGTCTTTTTTTATGACGCGGTCGGGGATCGAACCACCGACCTTCAGTTTTCTGGTCAGACGCTCTATCTATCCACTAGGCCACAATTACTCAAATAAAGAGAGTTATTTAGAGATACTTTGAATGAACATGCTGTTCTGTTGACATATGCAGACAATTCCAATGAGGCTTATTCAGACCACGTGTTGCTTGGGGTCTTCCAGCCTAGAAGTACGACTGAATGACTATCTCTAACGTTCCGTGTTATAGTCTGTTTGCGGCAAAATCGTACCGATGAAATGCCAAATAAATATTAATCAGAAAGCTAACATTCGTCTTAAATGGCATGATAGTTATTTATCTGTCCGTACCAACTCGTCACCATAATTTCAGACTTTGTCATGAGGGGTAGAAATAGTTGTTTAACAAACTCTCATGTAATCTTAGTTGTGTTAGTGCTGTTCTTGGTATTGCTATTCAGCAAATGCAAATAATAAAAAACCAGAACGATCTCAATATATCATAACAATACCGTACGTGATGAAATTCACAGATGATTTGAAAACCTTGGGATTTCACGTTTATGATAATTGCAAGTCGGACGGGGTGTATTGACAAAGTCGGGACCGGAATTAGCGCTTCATATTGCAATAGAGATGGTTTAGACAATGCAGCTGTCAGTCAAATTATTATTTCAGTTGACAGTAACATTGACAATAAAAATATTCCAGAAATGTTGAGGCTATCCCTGTGTGTTCCGCGGTGCCCCTCAGCTGTTGTGTTTATTGCGCGGACCCCCTTGTAACAACAGGCATTAAACCACGAACAATTAAATGATAGTTTATTAAGCAACTTTTTCTACACTTCATGACAGCGTCTGCATTATGGTGACGAGCTGGTGTGGACAATTAACAACTTTCAGGCCATTTAAGTCGAATTGTTGCTTTCAGATTTATATCTATTTTGCATTTCATCGGTACGACTTTGCAGAAAACAGACTGTAATTTCTAACGCTGTAGGGAGTTAGCACTTCACAGTAGAAAAGGGACATATTAATGTAATATAATTCGTTTAATATTGATGTTTGACGTCAATACATGGAACAAAATGCCGCCAAAGATACAAATGTCACAGCAGCTTGATTAGATCATCTCGATCAGACAACACGTGACAGGGGACACAAGCATAGTTAATCTAATGTAGCACATCCATACGCCGTGGTGCTGATCACGTAATTACATACAAGTCTGACATGTTGAAACTTGGCAACTTGGTCAACTAGTGACGGAGTGAGAGAAAGAGTAAAATGAGAGAGAGAGAGAGAGAGAGAGAGAGAGAGAGAGAGAGAGAGAGAGAGAGAGAGAGAGAGAGGGGCACATAAATGACGCATATCAAAGACGTTCCCTAATTTGATAGAACCAACGATAATGATGTAATCAACAACCTAGAGCAGAAGCACTCTGACAGTAGCTATTAAGCTGGGAGTCTCAGAAAGATCCCCATGGGAGTCTCAGAGTAAGAATAGGTCCTCCGTGCCCAATGCTTGTGGTAAGAGCTGACTAAAGGATGGCTATAACCTCGATGGCTTACCGATGGTATGGATCATTGCCCATATAGATATAGCTGGTATATTGCCGACTGGGTGTTAAACATTCACCCACTCATGCACTCGCGCAATTCAGTGAGTAATTGCGTGGGTGAGGTGTGGGCGGAGTTTTACCCCAATTTAACAACATCCCATGCTTACGATAACTACCTTGATGCCCCCATGCCCAGACAGATCCCTTGTCACAATGAACACGCTTGCTACCGATTCTCCTTGTGATTTACACAAAACTGGATCCTTTCCTTGAGATGTAGGCATACTGAAAGGGCTGTCTCTTCTGAGGTTCATGAATGTTTCAGTCCATTTGCTGGTTCAGCAGGAGTGTGATTCAAAATGTATGGCCCATGGGCAATGTTTCTGCTACAAGGCACAGCACAGTTAGAATGTCAGTGAACCACCTCAGTTGGATAACTGTTTTCCAAAACGAAACTGACAGAAAAGATGTCTTCTTGTTAACATGCGATCAAGGTGTAAATTGTCTAATTATCGAAAGTGCTCAAGTGACATGGGGTTTAACATGGCGTTCAAGATTACTGCACTTTTACAGCAACATGCATGCATATGTGTGTGTGTGTGTTGGGGGGGGGGGGGGGGGGGGATGTGTGTGTCCTTGTTCTACCCCTTTAATGATGCAATAATGCAATAGTCTTGCGCTGGGTAACAACACCTATCATCCTTTCAGTGTGGCTGGTGTTTGAACCAGTGTCTTTCCACTCTCTGGACAGACGTTCTATCCCCTAGAATCCTTGTGAACCATGTCAACTGGATCATTGATTTTCAAAACAAAACTCTGCCAGAAAAGATGTCTTCTTGTTAACATGTAATTAAGCATGGAGTGTCAGTGCAAACTGTCTGCACATCAAACTGGAGCCAGTTGGCTCTAGCTGGCAACCATGTGGGCGGACTGGTTCTGGCATAATCCAGCGCTGAGTCAACGTGGGTACATTTTTAGCTGTAAGGAATAAACAACACAAAACTTACTCTTCTTTTCATCATATATTTTCACATCTGTTTCAAGACATTTACATATGTACAAATAACAAACCAAACAATATGTACATATCCTGGTATACGTTTGTGGTATATCTTGTGTCGTCAGTCAAAAATGATTTCAGCATGTAAAAACCATGACTAGACAAATTCTGTATTCCACACACATGTTCTGAGAAGACACTTCAAGCTTCTACCAGTCAGCTGGCTCCTGTCCGTCAGTGTACCAGTCACACACGAGTTCTGAGAAGACACTTCAAGTTTCTATCAGTCAGCTGACTGCTGTCTGTCAGTGTACCAGTGAGTGTGTTGGACATTGCAGTATGATGACCAGTGTTATTTCAATGTCGGAGGAAAACTGTAGTGACATTTACTGTTTTGGAGACAAGGTCGGGGGTATGTTACTGACAGACCAAGGTTCAGTATTTGTTTCACATCCAGGGTAAGTGCTCACAATCAACTTCTCTGTTCTGATAAGGTTCAGTGCACAAAGAAATATCGATAAGTTCCCACATTATCAGTACAAAATAATTCCAGTGTTTTATTCCTGACAATAGAAACTAACCCGATTGTTAATGTGAATGTCATATTTTAGTTACAACACACAGATTTCAGAGTGAGTGAGTATGGTTTTACGCCGCTTTTAGCAATATTCCAGCAATATCACGGCGGGGGGACACCACAAATGGGCTTCACACATTGTACCCATGTGGGGAATCGAACCCGGGTCTTCGGCCTGACGAGCGAACGCTTTAACCACTAGACTACCCCACCGCCCCCACAGATTTCAGAGGTCTGAAGGAGTGAGTTACCCAACAGTGACTATGTACTGACGACACTTTATTAGCTGGCATCCTGGTCCTCATCACCTGGTTCTGATGAGGAGCACACTGGTATGAAGACATTCCTGGGTGTACTGGAAATGTTCCTACATCACAAGCATTGTCTTTCAGTGCGCCAACAAGGGAGTTCCCACTGCTGACAAGGACCCTGTTCCACAGAGCAATTGTAGTGCTAAGATGATCAAAACTCCCATGCTGCATATACAACTTTCCACTTATGCTGTATACATTCATAACCAGAACTAGATCCTCAAACTGTCTGACAAGTAGGTTCATGGATAACCAAGTCAATAAAGCAGGACCAGCCTCCACCGATCTCAAAGATTCACTGACCAAACTGATGACTGTAGCATGTAGTATATTTAGCTGTAGAATCAATCAGTCCCATGCACTGTCCATCCTTCCAACACATGTTGAAAAGGCTGAACCTGTTGACTGGTACTGTGTACAGGCTGTGCCACTTGTCAGAATACGCCTCTGACATTGGTAGCATTCACATCTATCTGCTGGTTGTCTGTAGAACCTTCCGAGATAGCCGCATCCGACCATTGGCCGGGTCCCGCCCGAAGTACTTGGCCCTGATCTCCTGCCCCACCTCAAGTCCCAGCACAGACGGGTGGTTCACCTGCAACATGAGTCAGTCAGTCAGTGGGTGAGTGCGTGAGTGCGTGCGTGCGTGCGTGCGTGCGTGCGTGAGTGAGTGGCCTGGGTAAGGGACATAACTCTGCAAAGTGAATTGCAGCACCTCAGATTACTGGTTAAGTGTTAAGCACCTGTCACTCATTCAGATATTTTATGACATATTCCACTTAACTCAGGGCATACTCAGAGCCTCATCAGGGCATGCTCACAGAAAAATCAGGGCATACCCAGGGCATGCTCACAGAATAATCAGGGCATACCAAGGGCATGCTCACAGAATAATCAGGACATACCCAGGGCATGCTCACAGAATAATCAGGGCATACCCAGGGCATGCGCACAGAATAATCAGGACATACCCAGGGCATGCTCACAGAATAATCAGGGCATACCCAGGGCATGAACAGGGCATACTGAGGGCTACCTACCTTCCTCATATCCAGCTGAGAGTTGTGAATGAGAACAGGCTGCAGTCGGGGGTGGAGCTCTACCATCACACCATAGTCTCTGTACAAACACATGACACACAAAGTGTTTTTCAATAATCGATATCATTTCAAATTTATAGCATTATTACATACATTGATCTTGAATGTGCAAGTGTATTTGTGTCAGATACATTAAAGCCTGTCAAGCTAGGATTTTAAGAGATCAAACCAGTGTGAGAAACAAACAGCAAAAAGAATCATAAAACTTCAACAGCACAACAGCTTCAGACAAATAAACTTACTTGATTTCAACAATCTTCCCAGTGCAAATAGCACCAAATTCAAACTCCGGCACCTATAAGAAAAAACATCTATTGACAACATGAAATCAGCTTCATTTTCAGAGAACTTATCAGGATCATACACCTTGTTTTGGGCAATATAGGCACTTAAATGTACAAAGCTGTCAGTGATGATAACATCATCAAAACTTTTAGAAAGGAAGTAGTGATACCATTAGAATATTTTGTATGATAATCTTTTTTATGAATTTGTTACTATGACAACTTCTGATATTGCAGCAACTGACATTATCCTGCAACAGTTCGTCGATGATCTCCCGTGCTTCTTCCATGGCATCCTTGTTGGGAGCAAACACTTGGAAGGTGGTCTCGTCCATGTTAGTGATGGTCACCCCTGAACACAGAGAAGTGAGTGCAGTGTTAGGTCCAGCAAGTGTTTGGTGAAGGATGTTTTATTGCTGTAGTCGAAGGTACAATCAAAGTTAGACAGTTATAGAATCTATGTTGTTTTTCATCTCCATATGTCTCCTTCTCTCTGTATTGCTTACAAAGATCTCACAAAAGAATATATATATGTACTGATACACTTTGAAAACAAATATTCTAATATCTTTAATATTTGGTAAGCTCATTTTTTTTGCAAATTAAATAGTTCTGTGTATTGAGATAATTATATTGATATTACTGAGGCATGAGATAATCAAACAAGAATCTTGTTGTATGGGTGCGAATCTCATTCGATGTGTTTCGAGATGGACTTGAGCACAAAAACACATCTTGTCATTTTCATTTAAATTTTTGCGGTTTCATTGTGTGTTAGTATATATACAGTGACTGTTCAACACTACAGTCCAGTGATTGATAGTATGAGCAACTGCTAAGGGTATGTCACATCATGACAGAGAAAGGCATTGGGAGTGAAATAACTGTGTGAAATAGTGAGTGTGTGTGTGAGTGAGTGAGTGAGTGAGTTAATTTTACGCTGCTTTTAGCAATATTCCAGCAATATCACGGCGGGGAACACCAGAAATGGGCTTCACACATTGTACCCATCGTGGGAATCGACCCCGGATCTTCGGTGTGACGAGCGAACGCTTTAACCACTAGGCTACCCAACTGCCCCACTGCGTGAAATAGACTGATCTCAGTCTACCACTACCTACCCGTTTGACTGCGGATCTTCTGCAGGTTATAGCCACCCGCTCCCACAAACCTCGGCCTCTTGTGTGGCGGTACCTGCAATGTCTCTACAACATGGCAACACAAGACTGTCACACAGCATTCAAATACAAAACAAATGGTAAAAGATTTTGCATTAAATATACTAAGAAAATTTGCTACTTTTTAATGTATGATAATGTTTTGCTGGAAACTCTTTGACGTCACCGTATCAATCAATCAAATCTTTATTAAGCATGAAGGCCATAGGGCCATGGACATTTATGAAATAAATTGGATGTGGCTTTAAATATCACTCAGAGCACTTCTAAAGTTCATACGAATATTGCAACAACAAACTCTGTATCATGGCCACCAATCATTATCATAGGAAATGTTAAGATGTTTGAAAATGAATACAAATTTCTCAAAATAAACATGATAAACATCTTTCATGAGTCACTAAAACCTTCACATAACAATAAGACAATGATAGGAAATGGGGCTCATTTTCTTAAATTAGACAATGGACAAATCTTTTCTCATTGAAAAATCACCATTTTGCAATCTACCTTCATGTTTTTTTAACTTTACAAATGAAAAAAGCCCTGGTACCTGTTACAGGACCATTTTCTTTGCGAGAACTTCGTGGTTTAGCCAGTGTGTTGTTCATAATCTTCAATATCTCATACTTCGCATCTGAAATAAACATGGCAAAGGATAGAAAACTGCTGTCCAACATAATGTATTGAGTAGCTGTACAGTATTAGGAGCTTTTACCATCCAATTAGGAGAGATGTAGAGGTTCCACTGCATACTCTAGTGGCGAGTCAGCATACCCCAGTGGTGTGTCAGCATACCCATGTGGTGAGTCAGCATACCCCAGTGGTGAGTCAGCATACCCCAGTGGTGAGTAGGCATACCCCAGTGGTGAGTAAGCATACCCCAGTGTTGTGTCAGCATACCCCAGTGTTATGTCAGCATACCCCAGTGTTGTGTCAGCATACCCCAGTGGTGAGTAAGCATACCCCAGTGTTGTGTCAGCATACCCCAGTGTTGTGTCTCCGTACCGCAGTGGTGTGTCTCCGTACCCCAGTGGTGTGTCTCTGTGCCCCAGTGGTGTATCTCCGTGCCCCAGTGATGTGTCTCCGAGCCCCAGTGGTGTGTCTCCGTATCCCAGTGATGTGTCTCCGAGCCCCAGTGGTGTGTCTCCGTATCCCAGTGGTGTATCTCCGTGCCCCAGTGATGTGTCTCCATACCCCAGTGGTGTGTCTCCGTGCCCCAGTGGTGTGTCTCCATGCCCCAGTGGTGTGTCTCCATATCCCAGTGGTTTGTCTGTGCCCAGTGATGTGTCTCCGTGCCCCAGTGTTGTGTCAGCATACCCCAGTGGTGAGTAAGCATACCCCAGTGTTGTGTCAGCATACCCCAGTGTTGTGTCTCCGTACCGCAGTGGTGTGTCTCCATACCCCAGTGTTGTGTCTCTGTGCCCCAGTGGTGTATCTCCGTGCCCCAGTGATGTGTCTCCGAGCCCCAGTGGTGTGTCTCCGTATCCCAGTGATGTGTCTCCGAGCCCCAGTGGTGTGTCTCCGTATCCCAGTGGTGTATCTCCGTGCCCCAGTGATGTGTCTCCATACCCCAGTGGTGTGTCTCCGTGCCCCAGTGGTGTGTCTCCGTGCCCCAGTGGTGTGTCTCCATATCCCAGTGGTTTGTCTGTGCCCAGTGATGTGTCTCCGTGCCCCAGTGGTGCGTCTCCATACCCCAGTGGTGTGTCAGCATACCCCAGTGGTGAGTAAGCATACCCCAGTGTTGTGTCAGCATACCCCAGTGTTGTATCTCCATGCCCTAGTGATGTGTCTCCATACCCCAGTGGTGTGTCTCCGTGCCCCAGTGGTGTGTCTCCGTGCCCCAGTGGTGTGTCTCCATATCCCAGTGGTTTGTCTGTGCCCAGTGATGTGTCTCCGTGCCCCAGTGGTGTGTCTCCATACCCCAGTGGTGTGTCTCCGTATCCCAGTGGTGTGTCTCTGTGCCCCAGTGGTGTATCTCCGTACCCCAGTAGTGTGTCTCCGTATCCCGGTGGTGTATCTCCATACCCCAGTGGTGTGTCTCCATACCCCAGTGGTGTGTCTCCATACTCCAGTGGTGTGTTTCCGTGCCCCAGTGATGTGTCTCCATACCCCAGTGGTGTGTCTCCGTATCCCAGTGGTGTGTCTCAATACCCAAGTGGTGTGTCTCCATACCCCAGTGGTGTGTCTCCCTGCCCCAGTGGTGTGTCTCCGTACCCCAGTGGTGTGTCTCCGTACCCCAGTGGTGTGTCTCCATACCCAAGTGGTGTGTCTCCATACCCCAGTGGTGTGTCTCCCTGCCCCAGTGGTATGTCTCCGCACCCCAGAGGTGTGTCTCCGTACCCCAGTGGTGTGTCTCCATACCCCAGTGGTGTGTCTCCGTGCCCCAGTGGTGTGTCTCCGTATCCCAGTAGTGTGTCTCCCTGCCCCAGTGGTGTGTCTCCGTACCCCAGTAGTGTGTCTCCGTATCCCAGTGGTGTGTCTCTATACCCCAGTGGTGTGTCTCCATACCCCAGTGGTGTGTCTCCATACTCCAGTGGTGTGTTTCCGTACCCCAGTGGTGTGTCTCCGTATCCCAGTAGTGTGTCTCCGTATCCCAGTAGTGTGTCTCCATATCCCAGTGGTGTGTCTCAGTGCCCCAGTGGTGTGTCTCCATACCCCAGTAGTGTGTCTCCGTATCCCAGTGGTGTGTCTCCGTGCCCCAGTGGTGTGTCTCCGTGCCCCAGTGATGTGTCTCCATACCCCAGTGGTGTGTCTCCGTGCCCCAGTGGTGTGTCTCCGTGCCCCAGTGGTGTGTCTCCATACCCCAGTGGTGTGTCTCCGTATCCCATTGGTGTGTCTCCGTGCCCCAGTGGTGTGTCTGTGCCCATTGGTGTCTTCGTACCCCAGTGGTGTGTCTCTGTGCCCCAGTGGTGAGTCAGCATACCCCAGTGGTGTGTCTCCGTACCCCAATGGCATGGTATGTTAATTATGCTATCCATCACTGGTTTGCTGGGCCCAGAGTTGATTATTTAAACCCAAGATATACCTTGAATATTGCTGACTGCATTGTAAAACAACAAACACCCTTATTCCAACAATGAGCAGAACAAGCTGTTATACCTGATGCTTGCTGTATAGCTTCCATCACAATCTTAGCAGGAATTCCGGACAACTTGATGTCAGCCTGCATGTAAACAAACAATACACTCATCAACAGTGTCGATCTTGTACAATAAGACAGAGGGGACAGAGGGAAATGGAGAAAAGGATAATGTATTCAGAAAGGTGCATAAAATTCCAATTCTGGAGTTATCTCCCTTAGATAAAGCAACACTGTTTGTTAATTTATAATTTTGTCATGTTACAGCTGAAATATGTAAACAAATAATGACATTTCTGATTTCTGTACACATCCAGAACTGTTCCTGTACTCACTTGTAGGGCTGTGATTCCCTTCTTGGTTCCAGCCAGTTTGAAGTCCATGTCACCGAGGTAGTCCTCAATGCCCTACACACAAACCTAGCAATAAACATCTCTGTGTTCAGGACATCCATATTATTCGTTGTGTTACTTAGCATCGCCATTCTCAGTTTCAGTGTGAGCAGGCAGATGGAAGAAAATTGGACAAATATGAAGAAAAATATACATTCTGCCTTGGATACAAGTTTGTCTGTTGTTTAAAATATACCAGTCAAAAGAAGTCATGGACCACGCAGTTCATATTGCCATAGTTAATCTGTCATGAATATGTGCTGTATTCGAAGTGCAAGGGTTGTTGTTTCTGTGTTGAGAAGTTTAATATGGAGGGCTTAAAAGACAGAAAAATATAAACTATAGGCAGAGTTCCTTCCCTTCATCGAATATCCTTATGACAAAATACAGAGATGGTATTAAAATGGTCAGAGATATACCATATTCGACGTAATAAGCGCCCCGCTCTAATAAGCGCCCACGGCGATATTTGTTAATATATTGGCTAGTGAACAATCGCTCTTAGCATCCCTTCCGATTGATCAATGTACACAAGACTTATATATTCGTGTATAATACGTGTGTTATATGCATTCTTAATTTTGGGAAATTAAATTCTGGAAAAATATATCTGTTGTATATAAACATTTCAGGCTGTCAGCATAAACCACCAAATTTACGATCTTTCAACACTGTTGTCTTTCACCAAAATAATATTCTGATAAGAGCCCCCTATTTCTAATTTTGAGAGCGCCCTGGGCGCTTATTATGTCGAATACGGTATATGTAAAATGAATCCACAGAGAAATGAATCTAGCCAAAAAGGGATATAAAAACATTAGTTTACGTTTGAGAGGAAACTGAAAAGGAGATGACAGGAGATGAGAAAAAATAATTCAGATAATTAATTTGCAATTGTAGCCAGTTATTAATACACTGAACTTGGTAATCAGAATTTGTTTAGCAGTCATTAGCAGATTGTTATTTACTTTTGTCATCATTAACTGGGACTGTTAACAGACCACAACATCAGCTCAGTTGACTTTCAGTCATATGAGCTAAAAATGTAAAAATATTTAAGATTCAAACATACCAGCAAGTCTGTCAACAGCTTGTATTCCAATATGTCTGACTTCTCGGGATCAGTGCGAGTGACCAGTCCAATAGCTACCCCTGCAGCAGCGTCCGAGATTGGCACCCCGGCATCCATCAAGGCAAGACTACCACCACACACAGATGCCATTGAGGAAGAACCTGATCAGGAAGAACATAGCTCTTTCTAACACTGACAGTGTCAAAGACAGTGACTGATATTATGAGCAACATTCAAAACCGTCGGGCTATGCTCAGCATCAACTAAGCCACCAAGCCTGACCCCTCGATCGATTTAGTCACCTCTTAAGACCAGCACTGGGTGGTGGGAACCAGTTCTAATCTGGAGTCCCCAAGGGTTCAGTAATTTAAAGAAAATAGGAATTTAAAAAACATAACTCATGCAGTGTGGATTCTGGGTACCGTATTTTCTTGTGTATAGTGCACACTTTTTTTTCAGAAAATGAAACCGCGCAGAGGGGGGTGCACATTATACACACCAACATAAGATTTCAGGTATTTCCCCAGTGGGTATACAAAACACCCAGCATGTATACCGGGAATCGGGTATATAGTAGGTCCCAGTAAACTCAGCTTGTGGTCCAAGGCAACTAAATAAACAGATGACCTGATCTGTCTTGGTAACTTGTTTAATTGCATGTCATTGCACCCTGTCAGCCTGGTATATGCTCATAATATCAATCACTGCTTTGTCTGGTCAATATTCCAGTATTTTCAGGCTGCCATGACATGGTTGAATTACTGCAGAGTGGAACAAAAAACAAACACACATGCTGAAAGGATCTGTTTAACACTACAAGCACAAGTCTTTGACAATGGGCAAGAGCCTTATAACTTCCTGCACATAGGAATAATCCATGAAGCCTATTTATGTCGAAGATCGTAATAATACATATAAACATAATTCCCATCAATGAGGGAGCCTGTAGTAGGGATGATGATCTCACCATTTGACTCCAACACCTCGGATGTCAGTCTGATGGTGAAGGGGAAGTTGGAGGGTATCAGAGGCCTCAACCCTTTCTCTGCCAGCGCACCTGTGGAAAGAGTAAGAGGCAAACTCAAGACTTTCGTACATAAGAAACAAACGATGAGTGGGAGTTGTTTACCGTACAATAAAACATTGCAGGGAGGACAAACCATGAGGGACGAAGCCCTGAGTGGTTTATTCTCCCGGCAGCGTTTTATTGTATGATAAACAACTACCATGAGTCGTTTATTTCTTTTAATATCAACATTTTGTACAGCTATTTTAATAGAGTCAATACAATGTAAACGCTTTAAAAACATTTACTTGTATTAGAATAACGATGACTCCCTGAACATAATCTGACCTCAGCAATGACGGACAAGTCCATTTTATGAAAAAGGGGGGTTTACATTTGGTATTCCCTGGATATTCTCACAATTTTTAAGTCCATTATCTGTACTTTTTCTCCCAATACCGATTGTCATATCTCGCCCACTTTTGAATGCCCTCGTTCGGCCACTGCGTAGCCTGGCTACATCTATGGGTAACAACTTACTAGACACTTCCCCCTAAAAAATAATGTCATCCAATTTACGACGTTAACAAGTTGCGAGTGAATGTTTGAATCTCCAGAAATGACGTCATGATAGAACAATGTTCCTCATTGTTCTTTGTGATTTATGGCATAGCTATCTTATATTATAAAACAAATAGAACAGTGCCAACTAAGTGTCTTTGGCTTCTTCTAATGTAATACTTTGAAACAATGAAATGATGCTTGTCATTTTTAAAGTATCAGTTTGGGATTCTATAGAATATTGAATCATAGAAGTCAGAGAACATTAGCCTTTCAGTTGGCCACAACAGGTAACAACAGTCGAATCTTGTCAAGCAGAAACCAGTTTAACTAGAAAATAGTGACAATTAGATATGCTTGTTTGGTCCAGCTGATTCATTTATAATTTATTATCATAGATAACTATACTCAGCGTCATTTTTGAAAAATAAAGTATTTAAACCAGTTGAATACATATTTTGGGGGCTCAGTTCACTGATTTGCCACTGAACAAGAGTCAACTGTATGACAAAACTGACTACCATTGCGATAGCACCACCTACCATGCCCCAACTCTCTCCTCTTGCTGGCGCCGATTCGGCCGGTCTCATTAGTGGCATAAGGTGGGAACTGGGAACAAAGATGATCAGTTGACCATTACATGTATATATTTACAGCAGAAGTGTATCACCTCATATATGTTCACACACTGAAAAATTGTCAGCCATTACTTTTTGATACTTTTCTGCATGTTTGTTTGTTGATTAATGCCACACTCGGCAGTATTCCAGCTGTATGATGACGGCCTGTAAATGATGTCTGGACCAGACAATCAAGTGATTCATATAGCTGAAATATTGCTGAGTGCAGCATTAAACAACAAACACACATAGCACATACTGTTATGTCAACCTATTCCGGGGTTCACACATGGAATCATTACATGTCACAACAGGGCAGCAAACGTAAGCAGTGAATATTGGCTACAGGGTCAGAACCTCCATCTAGTAAACCACATCTTTACAAACTGGAACAACTTAATCTCGTTGACACTGCATTAACTTTGTAGCTCGTGACTTATATCTGAGTTTCTCACCTCGTAGTGCAACATGAAATTCTTTTCTTTAAGACCTCTGAAACATAACAGAACAAATGCTTTTATTGCAGGGTGGAAAGGTTTCCACTGAGGCACATTTAGTAAAGTCTTGAGAGAGTGAGTGTTAATAATGCTGTTTAGAGCAGTATTTCATAGGGCTGGGACGACACACCAACTGTGCGATCCGATACGTATCATGATACTTGCATGTGTTCTTATCTGTGGTGCATAAGCCATCTATTTCATAGACAGGATGGCCAAATACCGAGTATCACTGGTGATTTACTGTTGGCAGTATCAAATATGGCGCAATGGATGAAAATATTTATGTTTTTACAACTAACTTTCACTACTAATTTGTTATTTTAGCAAACATTTGAGGTGAGAATCGATATCTTTTACATGTACTTAGTGTGCGACTGCGATCGATACTTGTATCAAGCAGTAAAAATCATGATCCATAGATGCATCGGCATATCGTCCCGCTACTAGTATTTCAGTTATATCATTGAGTGTCAGTTTGATGCACTAAGAAAGCAGTTATGCAGATCTTACATGAAGCCCACGGGCATGGCAACATCTCTCACTGTCATAGAAAGAGTTTTCCATCAATACACAATCCACTTCTATTCAGAGAATCAATCTCTTCTGGCACAATAGAATTTTGTTGTTCTCTCACAGTCATAATTTGAGATTTTCTGATGTTCTAATGTTCAAGATATTTGAAAGAAAATATAAAAAACATATATATCTAAAATTTGGGATAACACTTTCCAAGTAAAGTACAGATTCTAGTACTTTTTGGCTTGAATCCCACTCAACCTAAAATAGTACTAGAGTCCCACTCAACTGCCAAAAACATGAGAATCTGTACTTTACTAAGAAAGTGTATTCCCAAATATAACATTTGTTACATTTAACTACTTTCTAAATGGCATTGTGTGTTCACACCTCGATGTACAATTGTATTTCCAAGAAATCAGTCAGGATAGGTCAGCACTACTACACTGGTGGCCCAGCAAGGCAGGAGTACATACCCTGCCACAACAGACATAGGGTCGGACTTGAAGGCTGTGTCGAGACTGTCGAATGTCACAGTGCACAGAACCTGCAACAGGCACAATGCACTCACTAAGCTGACATGTTTCACTGCAGCACTGGTACCGCAACAGTTCTCTCAAGGGTAGAATTGTTTTAATTTTGTTGTTTATGGAAAATACTTGAGAATAAAACGTGTCTCATGAGATTGTGCTTGTAACAGTCATTATTGATACCTGGCACTAAACATTGAGTGGCTTGTCATCAGATATATTCTTGCTAATTGCATTTTTCAGTTTAATAAATTGTAAACACTTCGTAAATGATGTCATTTGATAAACTTTCAACAATAATCAGCATTGCATAGATGACAGGCGTAGTTGTTGCATAACTCGCCATTTTGAACACAAAGTGCAGAGTGTAGCAAATCTCTTAAAAACATGCCTGAGTTTGTCCCCTCTGGAAGATGGCAGACCCATGCAGTGGCTTGTACAGGTCGACCTGACAGGAAATGTCCCTCAGGTCTCTCAGACCACGCCCATCACACCTGTCAATCATAAAATCACAAATACTCTGTGTGGTGTCACAGCAAACCAATCATATCTTTTTCAGGTCTATTCCCTGAGTTAATGCTGACTTACACTGTGAAACAAGTACTGCAAATGGCACAACACTATATCAACAGCATGAGTTCATATCCATCATCAATCTCTAAGCCATATCACTGGGATTATCATGTAGTGAGGTGAAATGGGGTTTAACATCATGTTCAAGATGACTGCACTTATATACTGGTAGTAATGTGCATCCACGTGTGTATGGCTGCTTGTACTAGACTGGAATAATGCAGTTTAACAATTATATCCCACTCAGACACAGTATACTGACTCCAAGCCGACCAGTCCTTGTTTTAGCCCCTTCATGCCAAGCGCCAGGCAGAATAACAACAAGTACCATCTCTTAGCATCATTTGGTATTTTGCCGGGGACCAAACCACCGACCTTCCGCTCTCCGGGCAGACACTATCTCCTACACCACGGAGGTGGTGAGTGTCATGTCAGCCATATATGTCATGGTCATGTTCAGCTGACAACAGGAAGCACAGGAAGTGTTGTCCTGGTTACCAGCACATAGTTTAACAAAAGAAAACACTGATGTTCCTGCAATCAGAAATCTGGGGTGGTGGTAGCGTTGAGGTTAAAGTGTTTGTTTGCCACCCAAGACACCCATTCGATTCTCCACATGGGTGTACCACATTTCTGGTGAACCCAGCCGTGACATTGCTTTCATTGCTTTTTTGTTAATTGACACCGCACTCAGCAATATTCCAGCCATATGATGGTGGTCTGTAAAAATTTAATCTGGACCAGTCAATCCAGTGATTGATATCATGAGCATTGATCTACGCAATTGGGATGCGATGACATGCATCAACCAAGTCAGCGAGCCTGACCACCTGATCCTGTTAGTCGCCTCTTACGACAAGCATAATACGCCTTTTTTTCTAACCTGGATCTTCACAGGCTGCTAATACATGTATCACTCATTCACTTGCTCACATTAAAAAATCTAGATACTCCATTGCCAAAAATATAATTATGATGATAAACAGATTCTTGTGAGAAGGCGTTACCTTTTGTGTTCATCCAGAATGAGATTCCTAAATATTTCTTTTGACAGAGCATCAAATGCTTGATGTATGGCCTGAGCATCCACTTCTGGTTGATCTGCAGCACAAACATGGATGTAAACATAGGCAAGTGATGCTCACAGTTTGGGCCAAAAATTGTATTGCAATATATTGAGATTAGGGATCTGTATCAATACGTATTGTGATATACTGGGAGATTAAGAGTTTGAAAGTGGTTGACACTCTTACTCAGCATGGTCAGTCATGTTGTTGTCATGGATACAGGGGAGATAACAACATGAGAGAATACTCACATCCATGTTTATTAAATGTGTAAAAATGTGTGTATTTAATCATTTCCCTCAATTCCTAACGTGCAGCGATATTCCTTTGAGGTTACACTGCAGTGACATCATCTTAGAAAGGAGAGTGCACCACTTCTCTCATTCCCTGCTGCAGTAAGCAATACGTGACCACCTGATCCATTTGGACTTCACTTATGGCCAGCATAGGTTGCTGGGGACCCATTCTAACCCAGAAACCCCATAGAGGTGAGGGGATAAGGTCAATTTAATCTCTGAAAATCTAGTTAAATAAACATGGCAGATGATTCCCAGGTCTTTGTGAATGAGAGCTACACAAGGCTGTTTAGTCTTTCAGATACTTACCAGTTGATTTGGGGGATGCACCATTCTGTAACAGGGACTCTAGAACAAGAATACTTATCCTATCACCATGGTCAAAAACAAGAAAATAGTGAAAAATGTATTTAGTACCTACAGCAATGGAAAACAAACACACATGGTCAGAGTGAGTGAGTGAGTGAGTGAGTGAGTGAGTGAGTGAGTGAGTGAGTGAGTGAGTGAGTGAGTGAGTGAGTGAGTGAGTGAGTGAGTGAGTGAGTGAGTGAGTGATTTCACATTTGTACAAGTCTGGACAACATCAACAAGCTTAACAGTTTAATTATTATATCGACATTGATTTACGTGAACATTATTTCAGCCAGGACCAGACAAACTTAACTCTGCACAGAATTTCTCCAGCTCATGAGAGTAAGTTGTATCCGAGTATTTTCATGACATTGAGACTATCCACCATTAACAGGCCATCTGATCAGCACAAAGTACACAGATTCATGAAACAAGCACATACTGCCACACGAGTGAGTGAATGTTGTTTTACACCACAGTCAACTCAATTCAAGCTATATCAAGGCAGTCTGTACATAACTGATGCTGGACCGAACACACCATTAGTCAGGCAGGTCATGGTAACAATCATCCATCCAGTCCTCACGGCTCTATATCAAGCATGGAGTACTTGGGGCTTAGTCTGCCACGCCTAGTAGAAGCCACCAGTGTTCCCATTGGCTTTTTAATCTACAAGTCCCAGTGGACTGGCAACTAAATAAACGTATGAAAATTGCCTTGTTTTAATTCATTCAACATCATGTTTTATGCAGTGTAAAAAGTTCATGGCAGACAAATTCAATGATGTCATCTCTGAAATAACTTAGATGTACACCATTTGTACACATCAATCACAGAAAGTACAATCACAATTTTCTCTCTCTTTTGTAAATATTTCACTCTGGTTCAAGACTAAGTTACTACAATTAGATATTTCCTAAACTAAACATAGACAAAAGGAAACCCAGATGATAACAGACAAGCTGACTGAAAAATATACTTATATATGAATATCGCCGATGTTTTGGTCAACAACATATACGAAAGGTGCTTTATTTGCCAGTCCAAAGGGACTGCTACATGAATTACCGGTCCAAGCCTAATTTTACCGGAAAGAAAATGGTAACTGTTGGTAAACGCTGGGCCACATGAGTAGAAGCTAATCAAAAACCAGTTGCTCAGAGAGAGCACAAGAAACAACCTCACCTTGTACATCTCTCACGACCTCTGTTCTGACTTTCCTCACAGCTACATCTCTTGATATCTGAAGACCATTGACACATAGTAGTTTCATGTGAAGCAATTCTCAACTTGAAATCAGTCTCATTAAAATGAGATCTTAGTTCTCACTACCGCTAAACAATGACCTGAGGACATCCGTTCACATCAGAACGACCCTTCGTCCACTTTGACGACCAATGAAATGACTAACAAGAATTTGATATAAGCCAATCAGAAAACAGCTTTCTTGAGCTTAACGGCACAAGTTTTAAACTGGTGACTTTCATTAAAGACTACTCTTTGAAAAATATTGTGACAAAATTCTCAGTTCAAAATTTGAAAACTGAACAAAAGAACATTCTATAATGTCCAGTGGATGACCAATACTGTATTGCAGTACTTCCCATGGGCAATGTAAAGTCTTATCCGATCAAATGTTTATCCAAAATTGAATCAAGAGATCGATTTTTGCCGGAATCTGTCGCACAGTGTAACTGTCGTTTGGAAAACCTTGGGTTAACCTTTTCGAGGGGGGCATGATAGTAAGAACTAAGATCTCATTTTAATGAGACTGACTTGAAATTAACCCTGAATGAATGTAGCTATTGACATGACACAAGCATACAGTCTCATCTAAGAAGAACATGCAGACTCAAAGACACATATGAAGAATCAAGGAAGTTGCAAACTATGGAAACTTGCGTTCGATTGCTTGGTTGTTTGGGGCTACTGATCAGTCTTGAATTACTTCAGTTACTCAGAACACCAGTAATATGACAGTAACAGTCTGCTTAAGTTACCAACATCTCAGCACGGCATACCTGTGTGACTACTCACTTTGTCATGAGAACTGTCCGTGAAAATATCCCTCAACTTTAATTCTGCAAGACTGAAATAAACAAAATGCCCTCATACACATTCACAATTTGTCAGAATTCTTCAACAGCTGGGCCCTTAAGCCAAAACGTTGCACTGCCTGTAACAAGCATGAGTGAGTGAGATGCCACTTTGAACAATATTTCCGTCATATTTCAAGATGGTAGCTAGAGGCTCGGAACCCAGCACCTTTCCCGAGTATGTCACATAACTCTACAGACTGAACTGCAGAGCTACTGGGCTACCTGTGAACACTATTGGATTTAGATTTGTTTGTTTGTTATTTAATGCTGCCGTCAATAATATTCCTGCTGTATGACGTCAGTCAGTAAATAATCAAGTGTGGACCAGACGATCCAGTGACTGACATCACGAGCACTGATTTATGCAAATGGTATACGATCCCGATCCGATAGTTGCCACTTATGACAAGCATGGCTTGCTGAAGACCAGTTCTTACCCTGATCTTCATGGGATTTGGATTTAGATTCAAACAAGAAACAAAATTGTAAAAAAAGAATTGTTTTTAGTCAAGAAGTTTTCCAGCTGATATATATATATTATATTATATTATATTATATTATATTATATTATATTATATTATATTATATTATATTATATTATATTATATTATATTATATTATATTATATTATATTATATTATATTATATTATATTATATTATATTATATATAGTGAAAATGGTAATTTTATTTCTATTACCTTTTGACAATACTTGTGATTTGTTCCGAGGGTGCAGAGACTGGCGGAACTTCCTTCTTTTCCTGACCAATTTGATTCTGGAGTTTTTTAATCTGTCTTATGATGGCTTGTGTTTCCTTCAAGCCATACTTCACAGCCTTCTGGAAATCTTGTAGGTAGACATTGTTGGCTGAGGCTTCCAGCATTACTGTAACATTGAACAAAGGTATGTGCATGATCTGAAATGCTTTATAGCATACTGATTGTCATACGTGGTCCTGAGCACAGTGCACAGTTCACACATCTTGAGAAACATTGGTTGAAGTTGAGCAATATTGGTTTTGTACTGTAGATGGATGGGTGACTGTGTTCGGGGGCTTGACCCCTGAGTGCTTCGTCCTGCCCCAAACTAAAAAACATGTAGTGTCTCTGTAGGCAAGTGAATTTGTTCAAAATATGCCTGTGATCACCCAGCAGTGAATGGGTACCGGGTAGGACGAGATGGTAATGTGACTGTTGTTGTATTCCCCCCAGGGAGCTGAGAATGAAAATTGAGTGCACACTGATCCATCGACCGGGATTATAATGTAGCGCTCGGAGCATGCTTTAGGGTGTGGATTTGGGGTATTATATTATAAATATGCACATTATTATCATCAACATTTGTGAAAGAGTTAAATATATCTGAACACCTCAGTCACCAATATTCAAGCTAAGTCACAACAGTCTGTAAATTCTACAGGTTGGGCCGGGCATGATTAACAATGTATGACTGCAGTTTGATTGCTTTATGGGGCTCAGGTCACACATTGTAACTACTAGACCCTCGGGGCGGTCAGGTAGCCCAGTGGTTAAAGTGTTGCTTGTCACGCCGAAGACCCGGGTTCGATTCCAGACATGGGTACAATGTGTGAAGCCCATTTCTGGTGTCCCCCGCCGTGATATTGCTGGAATATAGCTAAAAGCAGCGTAAAACCATATTCAGACCCTCATTACCTTACTAGACCTGTCCTGGGGAATCCATGGGCTTGTGTCTTGTGAGTGAATGCTGGTAGCTCTCAGTCTGGTATAAGCAAACCAGTTGTAACTGATAGTGTGAGCATAGATTAACACTACTGGGGTAGGATGCTATACCAGATCAGCCAGCTCACTGTTGTGTGTTTTTGTTTGTTTTGTTTAAAGCAACACTCTGCAATATTCCAGCTATATGACGGCGGTCTGTAAATAATCAAGTATGGTCCAGACAATCCAGTGATTGACATCATGAGCATCAATCCACGCAAATGGGATACAATGACATTAGTCGCCTCTTACGACAAGCATAGTGGTTGTGTAGGGTGACGTCTCCCCTTGGAACAACCCTGGAAAATGTGAGAAACAAACCCAATACAGCCAAAGAGTCAATGGTGTGGGGAGGAAGGTGGGGTGGGGGTGTCCACCTTGCATCTGTCCAACTCACAGGAGTGGTCTAGTGGTCCAGTGGTAAATGTGTCAGTTCATTTCACTGAAACCTGGGTTTGATTCTTTGATTCTGAGGGTGTTCAGCTATCACATGGTCGGAAGACTGCTAACAGCAACTCACCCACTTTATCATGCTCTGAACCAGTTATCACCAAATTGAGCGTACTCTGAAACATCTGACGTCGCGTAGGGTTAACAACGACTTCATTGTCAATAAGTCCCACTCTAACAGCACCTGAAGCAACAGCTCAAATTTACATACTCATAAACAACATCCAGCTCCAAATGTTCCTATAATCTTACTTCATCTAAAATAAGAAATTAATGATAAGAATTTATTATTATTTTAACAACTCTGAGAGTTTATCTTAAAACTATTTATTTATCTTTCTATTTCCAAATATTTATAATGTATTCTATGAAAAGGATTTTAAGTTTGGACACCAGATTGGAAACGAAAATGGAGTCCACCATCTTGTGCTCCTAAACTGGTTGCACCTACCTACAGGGCCATTCCACGGAATATGAGACACTGCCAGGGCTGCTGAAGCTGGAAACACAACAACAGTAAGCATAAGAAGAAGTATCTTTGTCCACTACTTTCAAGATGCCAGTATTCCGAGTGAGTTGGAACAGTGCCGCTCACTGGTCAGAATGTTCAAGTTTAGATATTAAATGTAGACATTAAAGTGCTTACACGAAGGAATGTCGGAGGAATAATGAGGGTGTAAGCATGGTTTCACCACTGTTCATGACACTTTCAACATGTTCAATAATATTTAACTTTTATCACAGCTTATAGATGAGGAAAGCTGAAACAGGGAATATGGTTTTACGCCGCTTTCAGCAATAATCAAGCAATATCACGTTAGGGGGACTCTAGTTATGGGCTTCACATATTTTTTCTCATGTGGGGAATCAACCTTGTGCCCTTGTGGTGATGAGAGAATGCTTTAACCACTAGGCTACCCCACTTCCCAACAGCCGTTAGGGACTTAGTTTGTAGATATTCATTACTTTGATGAAACCCAGGTGCATGTTTTGGTAATGAAAGACTAAGGGTAATAATCAAGATGAATCGTGACTTTGAACCTGTGCTCAGCTGATCCTAAAACATATAAGGGAGGTAACTCTGAACCTCCGGAGCCCATCATCTTAAAAAGGCATAAAACAGTTAGGAACCATATATCCGTTTGTAACTAGATACTAGAACATGTTGTCTGGAGGTAACATCCATCTTAATACTTCAGTTTCATACCTGCATTTATACTGATAATGTCTGGGTCGTTCATTCCATCAACTGCAAGCAGGTTGCACATTATCTGAAATAATAAAAAAACCATTGCCATAACTATCACATGATGCATTTTAGTTAACCTTTGACAAACATCTCCCCTCCGACATCTCAATTGTAGAGGTCCAACAAAAAAAATTACTGAAGGGTTAAAGGTTGGATAACAAAAATGAAAAGACTGATCTGGTTGAAATGGGATGATCTGTTTGACAGTCAGTCAGTTTTACAGCTACAAATAATCTCCGATCAGAAATGTTGTGACTTGCAGGTATATTTTTGTAGGAGCAACAATAGCAAGGAGAATTGTTTCATAGGCATTACTTAGAAGATGACGGATGACAAAGTAGACACAATTTATGGATAACAACTTCTATTTATTAAAGAAGTTGTTATCCATAAATTGTGTCCACTTTGTAATAGCAAGGAGATCTCAATTTCACCAATCTCATTAAAATCAGATCTTAGTTCTGGCTACAGCTAAACAAAGATCTGAGGACATCCCATTACGGGTCACGTCAGACCGATCTTGCGCGAACTTTGACCGACCAATGGAATGACCAATCAGAAGGCAGCTTTCTCGTGCTTTATGGCACTAATTTCAAATTAGCGACGTCGCTTCGAAACATATTTTGATTACAAATTTGAAACCTGAACAAAAAAACATTCTGGAATGGCTAATAGATGGTCTAGATTGTAAGGATTGAGTCTGTAAACCCGTAACTATCATTCGAAATACCCCATGTTAAAGTTTTCGAGATTGCATGATTAGAAATCACATTCCGACTGTCACTTTCATAACCTGGTAAGCAACGCTCTGATTGGTCGGATGAAAGGTTCTGACGTGACCCCAAATGGGATGTCTTCAGATCTTTGTTTAGCAGGTCTGATTTTAATGAGATTGAAATTTCACCAGCAGCTATTTGTCTCATCTCAACCTGAACATGTACACATGACATCAAAGTGATTAAAAAAGTTTTTGTTTACGTACACAAAGGAAATTCCTACCTGAGTTTCATTATAAAAGCCCTGAGGAAACAAAGGTCTGATAGATCGATCTGAAAGAAACATGACATGATGAGTGAAATTACATGTACTGTCCTCATCAATGTAATCCAGATTAGGAACAGGAGAAACATCATGGACATCAAAGTGTGTGTAATGTAAAAGTTCAAAATGCATAATGTTGTGTATGTCTGACAGAGACCCTGGACACATTCCAGATGCCTAGCCAGCCTCACCAACCGACCCTGTTAGCTGCATCTAACTCATCTAACTCATCTAACTCATGTAGCAGTTGTTATCTAGAATTGTGCACCTATCCTTCATATTGGGATTGATCATATCCTTTTCTTCTGCAAGTGTTTTTGTGTGAATCATACTGCAAATACAGTTGCCAAATTAGTTTCAAAAGTACTTCAATCATATTTTCATAATATACACAATGTCACAAGCTTAGTTTGTTACAAAATTATATCTTGAGTCCTTATTATAACCATGCCATTGTGATTTCAACTTCGCCATTGGCACTCGAATACAAAGAACAACGAAATCTGTATCAGAATGAAAGGTCTCACCAATGAGTCTGCTTGTGAGGACCTCACTATCAGATGGCCCAATCTCTCGTCGAAGGTAGTTGGTGGGGATGCGGCCTGCTGCAGCAGCCTTCTGACGGTAGTCAACCTGGCATCACATTCAACATACCGACATTAGCAGCATGAAGGACATCTGCCTTGAATACATGTTACATGGCATTTTACTTTGAATCACTTTAGTGTACAAATCCACTGACTGTAAGAATATAATTCCTGTGGTAGCCTTTTCTTATTACTACCACTAATAATACAGCCAAGCCAAAAAAAACCACTTTGGATAAAATATTATACGTTGTATTAGGGTCACGAGGGGTACATGGGGTTTTATGCATCCTGTGTTAGGTTTAATACCAAGAGGCGGAGGCGAGTGAGATAAAAAACATAATCCAGGATATGTTTTCAGTTATTTGTTTACAAACAAGAGAAATGTCCGATCACATGATAAGCCACCACCCGCGGAGTGGTCACTGGAGCAAAACATTCTGTACCGGATTAAGGTGAGCAGAGCTGAGTAAGCTCGGAGGAGAACGCTGACGCCCTGTTCTTTTAACCATTAGCTTATCCCTCCATCCCTTGGGTAACCAGAAACAATACCCTTATTAATGAGCAAAACACACAAACACCAACATCTTCAAAACAGTCTCAATGTCCTCTATGTACAAGCGAAACTTACTGTCAATGGAACAAAGTTCTGTTGGACAGATCTGTCACGGCTGACAGCAGTCACGAGCACAGATGTGTCACCATGCTGGAAGGATATAGATTCAACAACATACATATATGAATATGTTATTTAACACCGCACTCAGCAATATTCCAGCATATGATGGCGGTCTGTAAAAAATTTGATCTGGACCAGACAATCCAGTGATTGATATCATGAGCATCGACTTACACAATTGGGAAACGATGACATGCATCAACCAAGTCAGCGAGCCTGACCACCCGATCCCATTAGTTGCCTCTTAGGACAAGCATAGTCACCTTTGACAAGCATGGGTTGCTAAAGACCTATTCTACCCTGGATCTTCACGGGACCATAGTATACAAAGTAGTAGTAGTAGCAGCAGTAGCAGCAGCAGCAGCAGTAGTACTTACACTGACTTCATTCCTACCATATGCATCATGTTGCAAATCAGATCCTGTACTTTGTAACATATAAATTTAATGGACATGGTGTAATAGGATAAAAAAATGATTTTCTTGTATGCATAAAGACCTAATTGTTTACCTGAGCAACTGCAGTGCCATCAGCAAACCTGGCCAGCTTCCCACTGGAGATCTTGAATGGCCTGCAACATGGGACAATAACATCATAGTTTCTGTATCAGAGATCAACACTTCAATTTGCAAACAATATAACACATCGATCTAATCATATCACTGTGAGTAGGGCTGGGACGAGTCCAATTCACTACCTGGGTACCCACCCCCCTATTACCAAACCCTACCAGGGTACCCATTGTAGGTATCAAGAGACAGGTACAAAATGTCTGATTGGGATTTTGTTAACCATAGCCCTGGCAAAACATATTTAGATACACGTATAAAACAATCTGGTCATGCACACACTGAAGTTGATTTATGTTTTATCTTTATTCAACCATATGAAAAGTCAGAAGGAATGGGTGCACAGTCAAAAAGAAATGTGAACAGTAGTGACTTGTAGTGTAACCATAGAGTTCAAGATAATTTTTATCATTAAACAATATATCACTCGACTAGCCACGGGTCTGGGTAGTCTTATGGGTACCCGGGTCCTACTCAGTACCCACCCGATCCAGGTACCCGAGTGCCCTAACTGTGAGTGATTTGGGTTACCTCTACCACTTTGAACACTCTCTGATTTTCAGTCTTATCATGGTGTGTAGGAGAAAACCAAAGGGGATGCAGCCATTGGACTTCTTTCGTAAAACCCACAAGCACAGACATGGTACTGATTGACAAATCATAGAACCAAATCATGAGAATCAGGAAATATGTTTCAGTGGGCCTGGTCGTCGGAAGTAGGAACTATGATTGACTGCGACATGGAAAGAACTGTGCTGTGGCTTCTGCAAACTATATGAACATGTCACCATACCTGATGAAGTAATTTGAGAAATAGAATCGTGAGCATAGGAAGGTACCATGGCTACCCATAACCTTCGTAAATGTCTCTCACTTCTCCAACCCTTATATATATATATATATCTTGCACACAGTGTAACAGTCGGACATACCTCTGTTGGTTAGCTTGTCGGGCCAACAATGCGAAGTCGCAGATTCCAGCTAGTCTACAGCAGATATACTCAAACTGTGTTCTTACTGAATTCTAAAAGTAATCCTTTGTTTCTTTCCACTATACCGAGTAACTGTATATTTACATGAACGTGTACTCATAGGCCCTTAAAAAATATTTATATGCTGACGAATGAAAAATTTAAAAAAAACCCATAATACTGACACTACTATATGGCCTGCAGCCGTTTCTCACGTGATGATTTCATTATTCCAAATAGGAAACGTTCACCTAGTTTGACCAACTTTGCAAATAAGGGTGTGATCTGTAGGTTACAGTAATTTCATACCCCAAACACTTCATAACCCTTGAAATCTTGTTCCCCAAGATCATTTGTAACTCTAAAATTAAGACCTATAACCCTGTAATCCTATATTCATTTAACATTGTTTAAAAGACAACATTATCGTTGGATTATATAGGGTTCCTAACATACTTCAGATAGCCATGTTTATCGCAATTTCTATCGCCAGATCATTAGATTTCTTTCATAGATCCAAAAATAAGTTAATATTTTATATGGAGTAATTTAACACATGAAGACCGTTAGAATAAGTCTTCAGCAATCCACTCGTAAAAGGTCACTATGCTTGTCGTAAGAGGCGACTAACAGGACTGGGTGGTCAGGCTTGCTGACTTGGATGATAACTGTCATCGTATACCAGTTGTGTAGGTCGATGCTCATGATGTCAATCACTGGATTGTCTGGTCTAGACTCCATCAATTACAGACTGCCGTCATATAGCTGGAATATTGCTGAGCGCGGTGTTAAACAACAAACAACATTGCTTTTTGCATAGGGTTACGAAGTTACTCTCCATTTAGGGTACAAAATTACTTATTTGGGGGGCACGAATTCGTTTGGGTTACGAATTTACATACACCCTGATCTGAACTCGATAACACGAAATTAAGAAACACTTGTTCTTAAAAACAGTGTCCTCCGCCGATTTTACTCACCTATTTCCAATTTCAGTTTCGACTGTTGCCCCATAATCACCACTTTTCCATGGGTTTGAATGTGATCTTCTTTTGAATTGTAATAAATATCGTATACGTGCATAGGGCCCACCGGTGCATTTGCACAAACATTCACACGCTCTCATGGGCGCAGCCATTTTGAATCGACCGGCGAGATCTCACGAGAATAAGTTTGGCGGAAATTTTGAAGTTAGGTGTGACAGCACCTCGAATATTGATCAACAAACATAGATCTCGGCGATCTTGTTTCACACATTTACAATTTCAAATCGTTTCGACCTTATTGCCCTAAACGGGAGCTGGAAGGACATCTATCATCATCCGTCAACCTCAAAGAGAAAGGTAACTAGATCGCTAGCCCATTTGTAAATACTGAAGAGAAGACTATTTCTGTTCATTTGAGAACAGCAAGCGAATCTTAGTTATCATACAGTCAATATAAAGACAAGACTCTGCTCTCATGGCTATGGTCGTGTCAATCTCATTGTTATGGCATTCAGAATCAGAGCATGACAGATGTTCCAGATGTTCTATTTTTCAGTGATTTTTAAACTTCGTCTTCATGCAGGCAGAGACCATATAATAATAATCTATTATATGGTCTCTGATGCAGGTCATTCATTCTGTTCACCATTGAACTTGTTTCCCATCGTGTCACAATTATCATGATTACATCTGCACATGTTTAAGATTTTACATACGTAATCAAAATAGCTTGATTACGTAAATGAGTATGTAATACATGATATATATGAATTAGCACATTTGGCACATGTTATTTGTTTTCCAAAATATGAATATTTAGTCAACATGGTTAGAAATTGTGAGGGGATGCATATATCATATATGGTACATGTTTCTTTCTTCTTTTTTATCTTACCAAAGGTACCTACCTTGCTGATATATTGCCTATAGTTTGATGTTAATTTAGTGCACATACAAAAGAGCTCAGTAGTCATGATGATACACTTCACTGTAGCGATACATGCGTAAGCGTAGTCACATTTAGCTTACTTTTGTACTCTGCTTGCATATTCCAACCAACCTGACATTTCTCATGGAACTCAGTCAAAACATGATTACCATGATGATTTCACCTACCATATTTGTTAAAAACTCATCTGTGTTTGCCAGTTGCAGTAGACAGAAACTATGGACCCCTGCTCAAACATTGAAATCATAATCAATTTTAGGCCTGATACCATGTGTATTCTATTTTTCAGGTGAAGATGGCAGCCTGGGACATTGTGACTAGTGACTTTGGCTCAGATGAAACGGCCATCTTTGGCCCGAGACAAGAGTCAGGTTCTGCACTCTACCAAGTGGAGACTCTCGCAACAATATCTTCTAAAGATGCGGTAATTAACATGCGCTTGGTATTGAATATCAATGTTAGGATTGTCTGGGTTGATAATTTAGGAACCCATGTCTTTGATCTTTTCATTGAGCTCTTATCATGATAAAACACTAAGGGTTTGCGGTATTAACAGTGAATTGAGGTTCATTCATTACACAATATGTATCACAATATCATTTTTTCATGCTCGATACATCGGGTGATTTCAAATAGCAATTCTTATCATATGTTTAATGTTATATACTTGCCAAATGCCTTCGCTGGAGCATGCATCCGGGGCCCCAAGATGGCTGTGTATTTATTGACTGAGTAAAAACATCATGTTGTACCAACATCTTTTTTTGTTCCATTTATGGACTTCAATTCATACCTTAATGTATCAGATTGCTTCTAAATTCAAAATTTAGAATTATACAATATATTGTGATGCATATCGCAGTAAGACCTCTTGCTTTGCAAAATCTCGTGATGCACTTTAAACCTCCAATACCCATCCCTATTTATAAAGCACCAAGAAATACACTTAGACTCTGGACACATGTTTGCCGGATTCCCATCATCCCCTTTGTTGCATGTTGCCTTGTCTGAACTATTTCATGTACCTGTATGCCATATAATGTCCTGCTTGTTCCACTAGGACGAGAGCGTGGTGCCCAAGGTGGTGACGTCGGTCCTGGGGGATCTGGCCTGTGTCGCTGTGGAGCAGCATCTTGCTGTGTTCAGGGATCTGCAACATGCAGTCACTCTGGGATTTGGTGTGTAGCTGCTTTTGATGTGTTATCTTGTTAGATACTTATATTAACTATAACCTTTAACTATTGCCACAATAACTGAACACAATGGAGCAAATATCTTAAAGTTAATCTGGATTTAACATGTGTGTCAATAGACAAACCCAGGCTGCTAATCAGTGTAACGCTAAAAAAATAATAGTCTTGGTTCTCAGGCACCGCCCACATCATCAGAAAGTTCGCCGCATGTTTCGCTTTTATTTCAATCTTGAAAAAAACCCAAATATCCTTTAATATTTCAAAACCAACTGTAGTCAAATACTGTATTCCAGTATTTTACTCATCAAGGAATAGATATATGTAGGAAGGCCCTTTCCCAGGTTGATTATTCTTTGTTTATGTGGTTACACAACTGTTTATTTGGTTACATACTAGTACATGTATTTAAAAAAAAGAAGACTCCGCCCACCCGCACTATATTTTCAAAAACCATTTCCTGAAAACTAATTCTTTTCTTTTTTTAAGCCTAATAAACCTGATCTTCAAATTGAGAACCCGGGGTGTGTGTGTGCATCTCTTTGTGTCTGTACCCCCAACCCCATTTTAAGATATCTTATGTGCCACCTTATGTTGTTTTGTTCACTCATGGGACTTACTCTGCATCTGCCTCTGTATGGTCTTTGTATCTTTTTGGACAAAGAAATTGCTATTTCCTTCCCATGTTTCTGAAGCAATGTGTGACTGCCTCTGTGGTCAAGTGGTAGAGAGGAATGTCGGGGGTTTGATCCCTGGCCACGTCATTCCAAAAGGTGTTGAAAGAAGGTACTTGTTGTTACCCTGCCTGGCACTCAGCATTAAGGGGCTAAAACAAGGACTTGTTGGCTCAGAGTCTGTATATTCATGTTAAACTGTGGTATGGTATCTCACTGGGCTAGTACTGTAAAATCTTGAACTGACTCCCCTCACCTCATGTGAAGCAATCTTCCCCATTTGAAATGTACTGGTATATGTTCACAGTTTTCAGTGGACATTTATACTTCATACCATGGATTTGTTAATCTGAAAGTTGTTAAAACAGACATTTCTCAATGAGATGCTTACTTACAGGTTACATGCCCGGTTGGACTGGTAGAAATATTTGTGGGGTGCTTCACTGACTAATACAATACACCTCGATGTGACATTCACATGGAATTAAATTCCATGCTATGTTGAGACCTTACAACTGATGACGGTAGAATGTTGCCTAATTTACTTGATACTGTTTGTATGTGTGTTACATCCTGCCTACAGAGTCCCCTATAGATGCTGTGTCGTGGAGTCCTAATGGAAGTCTTCTGATCATTGGAGATAGCCAAGGCATGCTGCTCATTCATGAGACGGAAACCATGGAAACAGTCTTCTCCTTTGTGAGTCACTATACCTTTTACTTACCTAAACCTCTATGGGAATTCCACAATCTCTTTAAAATGAAATCTTTTACTCTGATAAAATTCTTCTCTGCATGATGATCCTTTTAAGGTCGTGCCAGGTGAACCCTGACCTAACTTTGACCGCCCAATCTAAAAGAAGGATACGAAGGTACTTTAGCCAATCAGCTGTCAGCTTTCTGAAATGATTTGGCTTCATTTCTTTACAACCTTTATTCTTATATTATTCTTTGTACTACTTTTTGTCATTTCAAGAAAGAAAATGAAGAAAAATGTATGCAATGTTAACCATGTCAACCCTACAGAGAAACTTAACTGCACTTAGCCTATTGTTCCTATGACATAATGTTGTCAGTTGATGATGTCATAAACAATGGATGATGTCATAGTGCAGTGTTCTCAACAATGAAGCCATGTAACACCATTCTGCTTCAACTGACCAATAAACATTGAGAATCACTAAATGTTTAAATGTCAGAAAGTTATTACCGTGAAAATCACTTGATCCTTCTATCCTGATGTGTTACATGTCAATTTAACAGGCGACTGTGCTTGTTGTAAGAGGCGACTAACAGGACCAGGTGGTCAGGCTTGCTGACTTGGTTGATGCATGTCATCGTATCCCAATTGCGTGGATTGATGCTCATGATGTCAGTCACTGGATTTTCTGGTCCAGACTCGATTATTTACAGACCGCCGTCATATTGCTGGAATATTGCTGAATGCGGCATTAAACATCAAACAAACAACATGTCAGTTTAACACATTGCGTCTATCCCTGTAATAGTATAATTATTGGAAAATGTCATGTTTTAGGTGTAAGCATAGCCTATTGTCCTTTAGTCCCCAGGCTAGTGAAAATCTTGATTGACTAGATGTTTATCTAAAAAAATATAGGATGTGAAAATGAACCAGTAGTGACTAGTCTGAATTAAGCTGTGTCCACCCTTGTTATTAATATGATGTTAAGCCTGTCCACTCACTGCGTGTCATTCATTCCTCCACCTTCTCACCCTGTGTTGACTCGTGACAGATGGTTGTGCCAGAAGCCGACCGAAGGGATGGGAACGCCTTCAAGAAGATTACGTTCCAAATCAGAGATGATGGTAACAGCTATTATATCCCATTTGCTTCATACATGAATTGCACAAGATTATAATTAGGACTTTTGTTTTTATTACTTTACAACATTTACAGATTTTTCTCTCAAAAACATAGGGTCTGTGTTTGAAAGGAAAATATAATAAAGTTGCCTGTGAAACGTTTCTGTTTTTTAAGCATGTTTATTGAATAAAAATTGACTGTTCTCATAATTTTACTTTTATTTTTCATTAAAAACAATTAGGGTGGACGACGGTCCGTAATCATGGTAAACCAATAAAACAACAACCCAAACCATCATTTTAATTTTGTGTACAAATGTGTCCGTTAAGGTGTCAGTGTAAGCTGGTGTAGAGAACTGGCCACCATCATCATCTGTTGGTCATATAAGATGAGTCAAACATTCCTCAAACTGTACAAATGAATTACATAACTCATCAGTTGTGGGGGCAGTCGGGTAGCCTCGTGGTTAAAGCGTTCGCTCGTCACACCTAAGACCCGAGTTCGATTCCCAACATGGTTACAATGTGTGAAGCCCATTTCTGGATTCGCCTGCCGTGATATTGCTTGAATATTGTTAAAAGCAGCGTAAAACCATATTCACTCACTCACTCATTATCAGTTTTGAAAGGTGATAAATGATACTTGTTTTATGTAACTTGTGTAATACCTTGACATTAGAAATTCGGAGGTGATCATTTTGGAGAAGTTTCACTGAAAAGAGTGCCGCAGTCTGGGTCAAGAATATCAATGAGATGTTCATACTTACCATGCTTACCGCTAGGTTTGATCATTGAATAAACTTTTGAAGAGAAGCCATCTTTGATATTTTGATTATCCAGTGTTATGCAATATAGGGTTGTTTTGTTTTCACATGTGTGATTAAATTAGTTAATAAATGTATTATTGATCGCCTTTGAATGTTTATTGGAACTAATCTGTTCCCAGGACTCTATGACCTGTACAGTTTATCAGCCGGAGGACGCCTGTATGTCATCCGAAACTTGGATCTATCACTGCTGGCTGATGGTGAGTAGAACTCTTGTAGATGGAGGCTATTGATTCAAAATCTTGGTCAGAGACAAGATCCAAACAAATGTATTTAAGAATTGACTTTAACATTCTTGTTTGGGTTTAATGAGGTGTAATTATAAAAAACCCTGTGCATACTGTGTAAGTCTGTGTAGCAATTATGACTCCATAAACACAGACACATGTTGAAGCTAATTCTTATAAATAAATGTCAACAGTGATAACTTCAAAGACTGCTTATTTATTCATAAACACAAAAAACTAGATAATGCGAAAAAGCATTAATGCAACACATGCCCCACCCATTCTATTATCAGCCAATCAGGACACAGTAGTTCCTTAGTGGGCTGGCTTAATTCTTTTCTGTTTATGGAAATAAAAATGCAAAAAACATTGCTCGGTTAGCCAAATAAAAGCCACAGAATCACTTGTAATTTATTTATGATGTTGAACAGGTTTCATTTAGAGTACAGTGGGCGAGTGGTCAACTAGTGGTCAAAGTGTTCGCTAAAGGCCGATGTTTGATTCTGCACATGAGTATAATGTGTGGAAACCAGTTTCTGGTGTTTCCTGCCTTGATATTGCTGGAGTATTGCTAAAAGCGGCGTAAAACGATACTCACTCTCTCGAGTTTTTCAGCCTTTCTTAGGATGTATCTGCTGATGCCTCTTTGGACTTGGAATCCATTAATAATATTCTCTATATATATTTGTCAAAGTAACTTTTTAAGAAATAAATAGTTCAATAAGTTTTCATATCTTTCCTGACACAGATAATATGTTTTCTGTAACTCACCTGATGCACAAATTGCCAAGCTGACACTGTTTTGTCAACCATTGAAAACATACATAAAGGTCATCTGACCTAGCACGACTGGATATAGCTGGTTTTGTTCAATTATTATGACCATTATAATACTGAAATACAGTTAAAGTCAGTGTTGAGCCACTATTTATGGACACCCCTTGCTCTATCCGTCAGTTCCGGTACCAGGTGTAGTGGTGGCCATTCTGTGTTACAGATGTAGAGGACCGTGTAACCAAGCTGATGGAGATGCTGCAGTTTGTCAATGTCCAGACCACAGACTTCCACACTCACAGAACACACGACATCATCACAACTCCGGACACAGTGTACACCCTCGTAAGACAATCCTCGCAGTCCCTTGTGCTTGATACATGTGATATGCATCCTATTTTACCCTTATAATCACTGTTATAAAAGAATTATTCACACACACTTTGTCTTGAATATGCTGAAAAATAAAATTTAAAGTGATAGTGTGCTTCCATCACTTTGCATGCCTCTTTTTAAGCTGATAACACAAGGAACTGTTCATATACTCATACAACATTGTAGGATGATAACATTATGAAGGAACTGATAATTATGATAAAACAGAAATGCAATATTGCCTAACATTGTTTATAATATAGCACTAAATAAGGGATCCTCATCCATAGCCCTCATGTTAAAAGTGAAGCAAATACCATACAAGAACTCAAGGACCCCCTTTCCCCCCTCTCTCCCCTTTCCCTCTTTTTTCTTCTCCCCCCCCCCCCCCCCCCCCCCCCCTACTTTTGTCCTAATATGTACATGACCAAATAGTGCCTAATATGTACATGACCAAAGTGTTATTCATGTTATTCATTGTAGTGTCACTGAGGTCAGTTTGTCCACATTGTGATGTTCCATTCTAGGGTACTGGGGACAATATCATTGCTGTGTGGGAGTGGTCAGATGGTCAGCTGGTTATCCAGGACATGGTCGGAGACATGCTGGAGGGAGGTCAGTACATGGTTCACAATATATGCAGACAATTGTTATCTCATAGTTTAAGGAAAAGAAAAGTGAATACTTAGCATGCAGGAGGTCATTTTTTAACAAAAACACACAAATATGGTGTGCTTTCCTGGTCTGTTTTCTTACCACTGTGGCAATCTTTTATGCCTATCACTCAATCAGTCAAGTGGCCCAGTGGTGTAAGGTACAGCAATATGCTATACAGTTGCATCCCTTACTCATGCAAGGATCTACAGATTGGGTTAGAATACCAGATTTGCCCTGATTATCATGCCTATCAGTGGGCACGGGTGGCCCAGTCGTCTAAGGTGCCACGATTCACAGTGCAGAGTTGCGTCCCTTGGGCATGCCAGAAACCTATGATTGTGGGTTCGAATCCCGGTTTGCCCCGATTATGTTTCTAGGTTTGTCAGCACCATACCCATGCTCGTGGGTTTCACCGAAGTGATAAATGTCTGAGACCTGCATCACTTCGGGCTTTCCTCCCACATCAAGCTGACACCCCGCGATATAACTGGAATACCGTTAAAAGCGGTGTAAAACCCAACTCACTCACTCACTCATGCCTATCATGCTTATCATAGTTTGTCAGCACCATAGTCATTGTGATAGGAAGCACCAAAGTGGTAAATGTCTAAAGACTTGTATTGCCATATTATAACTAAAGTCTTGAATGATTCACTACTGATGTATTATCATTTGAATTTATTAAACGAAAATGTTTTTGCATGTTAAGTTCTTTTATTCTTGATTTCATAATAATTAATAAACTGATGATTCTGCTTTGTTTCAGACGCTGGTATGGTGACAGGGAAGTTATCTACAAACAAAAGATATCTCATCCTGCAAGACTCAAATGTGAGTTGGAAGCCATGCTACGTTAATAGTGGGCTAGATAGTAACATCATAATAACTTGTGCGGTGGGACAGTGTGACACTGTGTTGATGTTTTAGGACAGTGTGACGTGTTGATGTTGTAGGACAGTGTAACATTGTGTTGATGTTGTAAGACAGTGTGACATTGTGTTGATGTTGTAGGACAGTGTGACACTGTTGATGTTGTAGGACAGTGTAACATTGTGTTGATGTTGTAGGACAGTGTGACATTGTTGATGTAGTAGGACAGTGTGACATTGTGTTGGTGTTGTAGGACAGTGTAACATTGTTGATGTTGTAGGACAGTGTGACATTGTGTTGATGTTGTAGGACAGTGTGACATTGTGTTGACGTAGGACTGTGTAAAATTGTTGATGTAGGACAGTGTGACATTCTTGATGTAGTAGGACAGTGTAACACTGTGTTGATGTTTTAGGACAGTGTGACATTGTGTTGATGTTGTAGGACAGTGTAAATTACATTAAGTAATACGTTACCACTGTTATACCGAGGCTGTTGTCTACCACAGAGATCTCAATTACCTCATGCAGCACGTGCGTAGCCACCTAGCTGCCATGTGACACCCTTCACTCTTGTCTCTTCGCTTGCTCTAGCAAGACGTACAATAAACTGCTCAAGCGTTCCTGTTTCTCCGACCATTCGGTGATATTTATTACTGTTTATTCTCTCTAATAAACTGTGCTTTTACGGGGCGTTTGCTGTAACTACGCTTGGAAATATTTTTCCCGCCAAAAGGAAATATTTTTCCCGCCCTTTTTTTCTATATACTTGCGGGGTGTCTCGTATGCACGTCGCATCTTACGTTCCCCTGTTCTAGTATACCTTGGGTTTTTTACATCACTTATTCCTCTATATGTTATATGTGTATGTTCTATATTCCCATTGCTCGTTTATTTTCTTGTGAAAATACTCGTTTGTGACTATTTGTGGTGCGTGTGTTGTAACCATGTTTTGCTCTTTGTTCATAGTACAAACAAAATGTCTGACATGGATGTTTCGCCGTCCTCCACCCCCTCTACCCCCGCAACCAGGAGCTGCGGGGTGTGCCGCAAGCGAGCGCTACCGGCTGTATGTGCAGTCCGTTTCCACCCCTGTGGTGGCCGGCTCGTCCGGTCGGGATCCCCTTGCGGGTACCACCACCACGGCTGCGGCGGATCCCTTGGCGGCCCGTGGGCTGTCCGGGGATTCCGTCGCTGCATTACTTGCATAACTTGTGGACTCCAAGCTGGCGGCCGCTGGATAGGCCGCTGGCTGTTCCGTCACCGGCCACTTCGGTGGCCGCGGGGTCCACCGGTACGGCGGCGGCTCCCGTGGTCACCGGTCCTTCCCCCGAACCGTTGCTCCCGCTATCGGTTAAGGACCGCGTGGCCATGGTTTATGACCTCTTTGAGGACATGCCACAGCCCCGGCCGGTACCGCGGGGAATCCACGACTGTGGGTTCCTCCGAGGTATACGATGAGTCTTCCGACACGGATTTCCCCGCATCAACCTTGCTGCGCGGTATCAAGCCTTCCTTGGAGAACGCCTTCGCGGCGGCCTCCGGTCGGGGTCTCGCGTTGCCTCCGACGTCGTGGAGAAAGGGTTTATTCCCGGTACATGACCTTGCCTTTCCCGAGCCTGGTCCTACCGCGGAGGCCCATGTTGAGCGGTTGGGTGTCCGTGCCCCACCGGCTGCTACGGTAACGCAAGCTACCTTGCACCAGCTGGACGCCCTCGCTCGGCACTCCATGTCTCACGGAGACACTTACTTGGCTGCAGCGGCCAGTCTGGTCGAAGGTTCTCCCACGGACCGTGACCAGCGTATTTACAACTGCCTGCTCAGTTTAAATGCTTCCCTGGAGTACGTTGCCGAGGACTCTCGGCACACACTTGCTCTTGTTGGGTCCCTGCATAGGTGCCTGGGTGCCGCTCCTAACCGGAGCGCGCCCCAGGCTGCTGCGGCCGGTAGGTCTAAGGGGTCCACCGGTACGGCGGCGGCTCCCGTGGTCACCGGTCCTTCCCCCGAACCGTTGCTCCCGCTATCGGTTAAGGACCGCGTGGCCATGGTTTATGACCTCTTTGAGGACATGCCACAGCCCCGGCCGGTACCGCGGGGAATCCACGACTGTGGGTTCCTCCGAGGTATACGATGAGTCTTCCGACACGGATTTCCCCGCATCAACCTTGCTGCGCGGTATCAAGCCTTCCTTGGAGAACGCCTTCGCGGCGGCCTCCGGTCGGGGTCTCGCGTTGCCTCCGACGTCGTGGAGAAAGGGTTTATTCCCGGTACATGACCTTGCCTTTCCCGAGCCTGGTCCTACCGCGGAGGCCCATGTTGAGCGGTTGGGTGTCCGTGCCCCACCGGCTGCTACGGTAACGCAAGCTACCTTGCACCAGCTGGACGCCCTCGCTCGGCACTCCATGTCTCACGGAGACACTTACTTGGCTGCAGCGGCCAGTCTGGTCGAAGGTTCTCCCACGGACCGTGACCAGCGTATTTACAACTGCCTGCTCAGTTTAAATGCTTCCCTGGAGTACGTTGCCGAGGACTCTCGGCACACACTTGCTCTTGTTGGGTCCCTGCATAGGTGCCTGGGTGCCGCTCCTAACCGGAGCGCGCCTCCAGGCTGCTGCGGCCGGTAGGTCTAAGGGGTCGGGTTCTTCTTCCTCTGGGAAGAAGCCCCGCCCTGAGGGCTCCGGTATGGGCCATCAGGGTTCGTATGCCGACAGCGCCAACTTCGGTTGGCCCTTAGGCGAACCTGAGTCACTTGGCCCTGGACAGTTGCGCCTGCCGCAGCCTGTCAGGGCCCCCTCTCCTTCCCCAGTGGGAGCCAGATCTAGACTTACTGGGAGAATTGGGAACAAGTGTTCGACGACCCATGGGTGGTCAACACGATTCGGTACGGCTATCGGCTTGATCTCAAAGCGAATCCGCCGCTCACCGTTGCCCCGTTGGCAGGTTTCGATTCGGAAACCGATCTTCCCATCCTCACCGATGCCATCGGCAGGTTGGTGGAGAAGGGGCAGTACGGGAGTTAGCTCTACCAGAAATAACACCGGGGTTTTACTCCAGGATATTTCTCGTTCCCAAGTAGGACAGTGCCGAACTCAGAATGATTCACACGTCTGCTCCCTGGCTGTTCACCCGGTTCAACACCCCCATAGTGGGGTTCCTCCACAGGAGGGGTGTCCGGTACTTTGCGTACCTGGACGACTCGCTAGTAGCAAATCGAATGATGGACACCCTGTCACGCCATCTCGTTTTCGCACGTCGGCTCTTGGAGCAATTGGGGTGGATTATCAATCTCCCCAAGAGCGAGTTAACCCCTTCTCAGAACTTGCTGTTCTTCGGAGGTCGGTTCAAGACGGTGTCCCATCGCCTCTTTGTCCCCCCAGACCGGTGGCACAAGCTTCAGGCGATGATTGCCAAAGTCTTAGCGGTGCAACAGACTGTTCACTTTTTGGAACAGCTGTTAGGGCTACTTGTATCAGCCCAGGACTGCACCGAACGGGGTCGTCTCCAACTCCGCCCGCTGCAACGTTTTTTAATCCAGTTGTTAGCAACGGAGGTGAACAGTGCGACCGTCGCCCTCCCGGATCGGTTCCGACCGCATCTGGAGTGGTGGACGGTCCCTTACAATGTCTTATCAGGAGTCTTTATGCGGCCCTACCGGGCCACGTTGAACCTGTATACAGACGCCTCTCTAGTGGGCTGGGGCGCCCATCTAGAGGGGGAGGTGAGCTCGGGGCTGTGGTGCGTAGACGAACTAGGTCTTCACATCAATTGTCTCGAGTTCAAGGCAGTGATCAACGCAGTCACTCAGTGGAAGCATCGTCTCGTCGACGCCCGGCTCATGCTGGCGACCGACAACACGACGGTAGTGTCCTATGTGAACAAACTGGGGGGAACCCACAGTCACTCGCTACTCGATCTCTCGTTCGAGTTTTACGCTCTGGTGGACAGTGTCCCGTGCCAGATACGCGCCTGTCACATCGCAGGTGTGCGGAACGTACTGGCCGATGCTCTATCGAGGCCTCAGGATCCGAGCCCCACAGAGTGGATGCTGAACCCAGTAGTGTTTCAGTGGCTGTGCGAACGTTTGGGTCGTCCGATGGTCAACCTGTTCGCAACGCGGTTCAACAATCAACTTCCGTTGTTTGTATCACCAGTCCCGGACCCAAGGGCCATCGATCACGATGCTCTCGCGTTAGACTGGACGGGCTTGGACGCTTATGCTTACCCGCCGACAGCGTTGATACCACACATTCTAAGCCGGCTCCGAGGAGTTCGCTGTCGAATGTTCCTGATCGCGCCCATGTGGCCGAACAGATCGTGGTTCCCCGACTTGCTCACCCAGGTCACGCAGTCGCCACTTCCACTGCCTGTGAGACCGGATCTATTGATCCACCCTCACACCCGTCAGCTTCATCCAAACGAGCGTCTGAGGTGTTAAGGTTTTTCTCGCCGGGCGTCTCGGGCATACGTTAGTATGCATCGTGATTCTACCCAGAAGGTGTATAATGCACGTTGGGTTATTTTCACGAAGTGGTGTTGTAAACATCACATTCATTCGCCAGATAAGGTATCTGTGCAGGATATTGCTTGTTTCATGTCTCACTTGCGAGAGACCCGGAAACTCTCCGGGGGTTCCATTGCCAACTATATCTCGTCCGTTGCTACGGTACGGGACGTTGCTATGGGTGCCAGTCTCTCCAAAGAGCCGGTGATACGGGGTATTATCAAGGGTTTCAAACAGCACGATCTTAAGAAGGGCCGCCTTCGGGCACCGGCCTGGGATCTTTCCCCAGTGTTGCAATCACTTACGGAAGCTCCGTATGAACCCTTGCATAGTGCTTCGTTCCGGCATGTGACTTGGAAAACAGCATTTCTCCTCTCCTTTGCCACGGTGGCACTTGTATCCGAAATTCATGCACTCGATGTCGCCAAGGTACGATTCGATAGGGGTGACGAAGGAGCGGTCCGCCTGGGCCTGCTCATGGGCTTCGTCGCCAAGAATCAGAGAATCGGGCAAACGGAGAGAGAATTCACTGTAAGATCACTCACAGAAATCTTACATCCTGCTGATACTGAGGACAGAGCGCTGTGTCCGGTTAGGGCCCTTAATTATTATGTTACGGCTTCGAATGAACGTAGACAAGGGCGTGACCGTCTGTTCATATCGTGTAACCCTAATCGCACGGTTGACATAACTCGCAACTCGATTGCGTTGTGGCTTCGTTCTGTCATCAATCTGGTGTTTGGGTCTCAGGGGTTACCGGTAGCGGGGTCAAACCCGCACGAGATCAGGGCGCTAGCGGCAACATTTGCCCTACACTCGAATATCTCTGTTCGCAGAATATTACGAGGTTGTTACTGGCGTTCTGACTCGGTTTTTGCCAATCATTACCTCAAACAGGTCGCTGATGCCGTCGTGGAGAGTGTGCACCGTCTTGGCCCGCGGATCGGGGCGCAAGCGGGCACCTAAGGGGTGTGCTCAGCGCAATTCCGAACTCCTCAGGCGTCAGACCTTGCACGGTGGTCAATCTGGGTCGACTCCAATGTTCCCACTGCCGTGGGTACAGGAGTTGGGGTCCCGCAAACCAGCGCACTCACACCACAGGTGAGGGCGGCTTTTTGTGTGCTTTGTCCTTATTTGTATTTTTACAATTATGTATTTAATTGTCTGTCGTGTATCCCAACCTTGTGATGCATGCTTACAAATACTGGAATTAGGTCACGCGCCTAATGCATACTTTAAGAAGGCTTGCTCTGGGATATACGGTCTGAATGAAATTAATTTCCCTCTTTTCGACTGTTTAACCTGATCTAAGATTAAGCTCACGCGGATACAGTGTTCTCATCCGCTGCGGCGATGAAATACCTATCCAGTGGGGCCGTTTGGAGTCACCAATCATTTTGGCAATGACGATTGAGCCTTACGGTATGCGCTTGACAGTGCTTTGGTATTCCTATAGGGTAACGCCTAGCTAGGTGCATGCGCATCGAGTGCTTCCGCCTTGGTGTTTACTTCCGCTGGTCGGAAGGAACGCTAGCAGTCAGGATTCAGGTTGTAGGTGCTCCCCACCGCTTACTGTGGTAGTCAGCCTCGGTATAACAGTGGTAACGTATTACTTAATGTAATTTGTAGAATTTTCCTATTCAGAATATTCCATAAGTAATACGTTACCACTGGGCTGCTGCCCGCCCGTCCGTCTCCCGAGCACTTGCTCTTGCAAGAGACAAGAGTGAAGGATGTCACATGGCAGCTAGGTGGCTACGCACGTGCTGCATGAGGTAATTGAGATCTCTGTGGTAGATTTCGCTATAGCAGCAGTTGTGGGAGACAACAGCCTCGGTATAACAGTGGTAACGTATTACTTATAGAATATTCCGAATAGGAAAATTCTACAACATTGTTGATGTAGTAGGACAGTGTGACATTGTTGATGTAGTAGGACAGTGTGACATTGTGTTGATATTTGTAGGACAGTGTGACATTGTGTTGATGTTGTAGGACTGTGTTACATTGTGTTGATGTTGTAGGACTGTGTAACATTGTTGATGTAGTAGGACAGTGTAACGTTGTGTTGATGTAGTAGGACAGTGTAACGTTGTGTTGATGTTGTAGGACAGTGTAACGTTGTGTTGATGTAGTAGGACAGTAACATTGTTGATGTTGTAGGACAGTGTAACGTTGTGTTGACGTTGTAGGACTCTGTGACACTGTTGATGTTGTAGGACAGTGTAACATTGTGTTGATGTTGTAGGACAGTGTGACATTGTTGATGTTGTAGGACTGTGTAACGTTGTGTTGATGTTGTAGGACAGTGTGACATTGTGTTGACGTTGTAGGACAGTGTAACATTGTGTTGATGTTGTAGGACAGTGTAACATTGTGTTGATGTTGAAGGACAGTGTGACATTGTTGATGTAGGACAGTGTGACATTGTTGATGTTGTAGGACAGTGTAACGCTGTGTTGATGTAGTAGGACATTGTAACGTTGTGTTGATGTTGTAGGACAGTGTAACGTTGTGTTGATGTAGTAGGACAGTGTAACGTTGTGTTGATGTAGTAGGACAGTGTAACATTGTTGATGTTGTAGGACAGTGTAACGTTGTGTTGACGTTGTAGGACTCTGTGACACTGTTGATGTTGTAGGACAGTGTAACATTGTGTTGATGTTGTAGGACAGTTTGACATTGTTGATGTTGTAGGACAGTGTGACATTGTGTTGATGTAGTAGGACAGTGTAACGTTGTGTTGATGTTGTAGGACAGTGTGACATTGTGTTGACGTTGTAGGACAGTGTAACATTGTGTTGATGTTGTAGGACAGTGTAACATTGTGTTGATGTTAAAGGACAGTGTGACATTGTTGATGTAGGACAGTGTGACATTGTGTTGATGTTGTAGGACAGTGTGACATTGTGTTGACGTTGTAGGACAGTGTAACATTGTGTTGATGTTGTAGGACAGTGTAACATTGTGTTGATGTTAAAGGACAGTGTGACATTGTTGATGTAGAACAGTAAGACATTGTTGATGTAGTAGGACAGTTTAACGTTGTGTTGATGTAGTAGGACAGTGTAACGTTGTGTTGATGTTGTAGGACAGTGTAACGTTGTGTTGATGTAGAAGGACAGTGTAACATTGTGTTGATGTTGTAGGACAGTGTAACGTTGTAGGACTTTGTGACACTGTTGATGTTGTAGGACAGTGTAACATTGTGTTGATGTTGTAGGACAGTGTGACATTGTTGATGTTGTAGGACAGTGTGACATTGTGTTGATGTAGTAGGACAGTGTAACGTTGTGTTGATGTTGTAGGACAGTGTAACATTGTGTTGATGTTGTAGGACAGTGTAACATTGTGTTGATGTTGAAGGACAGTGTGACATTGTTGATGTAGGACAGTGTGACATTGTTGATGTAGTAGGACAGTGTAACGTTGTGTTGATGTTATAGGACAGTGTAACATTGTGTTGATGTTGTAGAACAGTAAGACATTGTTGATGTAGTAGGACAGTGTAACATTGTGTTGATGTTGTAGGACAGTGTAACGTTGTGTTGATGTTGTAGGACAGTGTGACATTGTGTTGATGTTGTAGGACAGTGTGACATTGTGTTGATGTTGTAGGACAGTGTGACGTTGTGTTGATGTTGTAGGACAGGTTGATGTTGTAGGATATTGTGACATTGTGTTGATGTTGTAGGACAGTGTAACATTGTGTTGATTTGGAACAGTGTGACATTGTGATGTGATTATGTTGTAGGACAGTGTGACATTGTGTTGATGTTATAGGACAGTGTAACATTGTGTTGATGTTGTAGGACAGTTTGACATTGTGTTGATATTGTAGGACATTGTGACATTGTGTTGATGTAGGACAGTGTGACATTGTGTTGAAGTGGAACAGTGTGACATTGTGATGTGATTATGTTGTAGGACAGTGTGACATTATGGTGTGTCAAGAACCTGGTGTTATTGAAGCATCTGCCAGAGTTGAAGGTCTCCCAGTTGTTAATGCTGGACTCATCAGAAGACCCCACCAGCAGGTGAGGTTTCTCAGGTGTCTGTACCCTATTCCTGCACCACAGATGGATAAGTCAGATAGTGATAGATTTCTGTATAACATCATTACTCTGGAAAAAGACCTGTATTTATCTGTTTCTCATTTCTGGGGGCTCTGAGGACTACAATGATATGTGACCAAAACAAAGCAATCATTGAGGATAAAGCATGGCCATTTTGGTTGTATGTGACCTGTTCCACTCCAGCCTGACAAGTATGAAGCTGGTGCTGATGTCGGCAGCTGACGATGGTTACAGTGCCTTGTCCATCCGGGAGATGCCATCCTTCCAGCCTGTGTACTCACTACAACTGGCAGCAGATACAACCCTCTCCCAGTGTATCCCCACACAGGTATGTGTAGTGTATCCCCACACAGGTATGTGTAGTGTATCCCCACACAGGTATGTGTAGTGTATCCCCACACAGGTATGTGTAGTGTATCCCCACACAGGTATGTGTAGTGTATCCCCACACAGGTATGTGTAGTGTATCCCCACACAGGTATGTGTAGTGTATCCCCACACAGGTATGTGTAGTGTATCCCCACACAGGTATGTGTAGTGTATCCCCACGCCAGAAACCTATGAATGTGTGTTCGATTCCCGGTTCGCCTCGATTATGTTTCTAGGTTTGTCAGCACCATACCCATGCTTGTGGGTTTCACTGAAGTGGTAAACATCTGAGACCTGCATCACTTGGGGCTTTCCTCCCACATTAAGCTGACACGCCGTGATAAAACTGGAATACTGTTAAAAGCAGTGTTAAATCCAACTCACTCACTCACTCACTCACTCACTCTTCTTGTTGCAGGAGGTACTCTATGTAGCAGAAGTTTGTCCCTCAGAGTAAGTGCCACATCTCTACTGCCACATCTCATACTGCATGACCCTCGTACAGAAATGCCAGGATCAGAACCAACTGTTTCACCAACCATGTATTCGTAGCCATTAAATTTATAACTTCATATACTTATCCTGCATTACCCAAGGGCCCACCCGTGACTAATGTCTTCCTCCCCGCTGTACCATCAGCCCTGAAGGATGTTCGAAGACAATAATGACATATAGGGGTTTGTCCTCCAACACCAGATGTCACAAGTATCATGGAGGTCATGTTGGGCAAAAGAGTTACTGAAGATGCTGATAGATCGTCATTCATTTCCAGTTAGGACTTTGGTAGTAAGAGCAATGTGCAATATGTAATGCAGGATATGTATATAATATAAACATAATACTCTGATAATGGAATTGCTGACTACAAGATGAACTTCATTAAAGGTATAAATAACCTTGTCTGGTAATCCTATAGTGCGAAATATGATGAAGTTTGTTCAGTACATTCTCTGACATCAAACTTCAGGACCATGGGTCATCATGCCTGCACATGTTGAAGTAACTCAGTGCTTATCAAACAAAGTAATGTCAAGACAAAAGCAGGGTCCATGAACAGCAGTGTTCCAGATAGACCATTATGAGGAGTACACCATGCAACATTGTTACAAACAAATGAGACATTCCTATCCATAATTCTACCTGTGAAGTTCCGAGGTAGAATAGGTCTTCAGCAACCCATGTTTGTTGTAAAAAGCAACTATGCTTGTCCGAAAGAGGCGACTCACAGGATTAGGTTGTCAGACACTCTGACTTGGTTGTTGCGTGTCATTGCATCGCAACTGCGTGGATCAATGCTCATAATGTAATCACTGGATTGTCTGGTTCTGGCTTGATTATTTACAGACCATGGTCATATAGCTGGAATATTGATGAGTGCGTTATTTATTAACTTGATTTTCTTATACAGTAATCCTTAAAAAGCAATCACCTTGACATATGCCTGTACTCTTCTTCCACGTCAATTTTCTGTAGAAAATGTGCACAATACTCTAGAAAGTACCACCTGTTTAGAAATTTGGGGTTTTATATATACTGTTGTTAGGGGATGCTCATTGGGTTGGGGCATGTATTACGGATGTCTAGTGATGAAGCTGTTGTATTCCTAGGAAGCCAGGCCAGTCTGCCACTGTGAGGTTCCGATGTTTGACGGAGACAAATCCACAGACAAGGTGAGACATTTTAGTGCACATTTTTTTTATTTCCTCAACAGATGAATCACCTTTGGACCTTGGAATGAGAATGATTCATCAATCATGATTTTTCCCTGTGAATCCTTAATTAGTGGTATTATTGTTGTCTTTTAGAATTACAGGAAGATAAACACATAAACATCGTGGCTGATTAGTGGCTAGATTATTGTGACCTAACTGGTGTAACACATACACAACCCGTGAAGATCCGGGATAGAATTGGTCATCAGCAAACCATGATGGTTGTGAGAGGCGACTGACAGGATTGAGTGGTCAAGCTTGCTTTCTTGGCTGATGTATGTCATTGTTGTTCAAATGCAAAGATCGATGCTCATGATGTCAATCACTGGATTGTCTGGTCCAGACTTGATTATTTAATTGCCTCCTTCATACATCTGGAATATTGCTGGTTGCGATGTTAAATGACGTTAACATAATCATGTTATGACTTCATAAGTCCTTTATACCAAATAAACAATTTTTAGCATCTCAAGGTTTCTCTACTTGCCCCCTCTCGCTCTAGTTTTTGCACTGAGAGTTGATAAGTTGCGGAGATGTTTCTTGTCCATCGTACCAAATCAGCATATGCCTGGAGAGGACGTTCTCAACAAAATCCACAATACTAGTAGACTCTCCAATAAACCTGTCAAGTAACTATTCATGTGTTTTCTTACTAAGATGTGGAATAGTAGTAGACTCTCCAATAAACCTGTCAAGTAACTATTCATGTGTTTTCTTACTAAGATGTGGAATAGTAGTAGACTCTCCAATAAACCTGTCAAGTAACTATTCATGTGTTTTCTTACTAAGATGTGGAATAGTAGTAGACTCTCCAATAAACCTGTCATGTGTGTTTTCTTACTAAGATGTGGAATATTTGTTTCCAGGCTGTACAGGATTCTGCACAAACAGCGGTTTGAGGAAGCTGAGAAGTTTGCTCGGATGTTTAATCTAGACACAGAGGTTCGTGCTAATTCAGTTTCTCTCTCTATAATAGTTCTGGACATGCTGAACCACAACTGGCGCTGTGATATTACTGAAATATTGTTTAAGGCTGTGTTAAGCCCAACTCACTAACTGACTCACTCACTCACTCACTCACTCACTCACTCGATCACTCGATCACTCACTCACTCACTCACTCACTCGCCAATTTCACTTATCAAGTTTAGTGTAACAAGCTATAATTACAGTATAGAATATTAGTATAATTATTTCCTGATATAGGTTTAAAGCTTTGACACAAAGAATAAAGTCTAAATTCAAAAAATTTAAACCCATTTTTAAAAATGTTTCCCCTTAGTCCTCAACTGAACACTGTCAGATTTCTTTTCATTGTCTTGATGTCATATGTTCTGTCATTTCCGTACAAAACAAACAAAATGTCTTGTAGTTGTTGAACATTTCCCTGTTACCATGGTTACTGAAACAAGCCTATCAAGGTTACAGTGAAGGCCAAAGAGCAAAACCATGACAACCGTATAGATACTGCTATTTCATCTTGTCTTCAAAGTGTGTAGTGTATTCCCACATAGGTAATGTGTTGTGTAGGATAATCATACAGATACTGCCATTTCAGCTTGTCTACACGATGTGAAGTGTATCCCACATAGGTAATGTGTTGTGTAGGATAATCATATACACGTAGATACTGCTATTTCAGCTTGTCTACAAGGTGAAACTGAGCTACATTCTTGACCAGTTGTCTCCCTGGAATGTCCACAAGTGTGATTCGGACATGGTAGCTGACCTTCTCACCCAACTCTGGGACTGCTTACACAACATCAAGGTTGGACATCCATACTTTTCCATGTGTTTCTCTGTGTTTCTCATCTCCATCTCAGTTTCTGCGGTAATGGGTAGGCGGAAGACAATAAAACAAAATAATTTTGATAAAAATCCCTCATCAGTTGTCTTTTTTTTTGTAACATATGTACAAAATGGTTTTATAATTTGACAGTTTTGGTGGTATGTTAAAGTGCAGCATTTGCTAGTCAGTGCAGCGATTGCTGTATCAGTGCTGAGCTATTAAGATGATTAAAGTGTAGAGCTGAAGAGAAAAAGCTGTCAGCAGAGTTAGCCCCATTTTTTTCAGTATCTTAATGTTATTATTGACCAACATATCAGAAAACATTTCAAAGCGTCACATTAAGTTTTAATACAGAAATAATTTTGAGGGACCTGATAGTGAAATTCACTATTCTGTTTGTCCCGAAAATCTTTTAATCTTTTAGACAAATGTTATAGGATATGTTGCAAGCTTGACATTATTAACATCCAAAAGAGAAGAGCATTTGACAACCTTGTCATCTTCTCCTTTATTTAATGACAAAATGTGTATAAATTATGGATTTATCCATTCTTTGTGGTGTAGACTATCATCCAAGTAGCAAACCATCAGCTGATTGAATGCTTCTGATGTTGTGCAGGACGATGCTGACATAGCAGAGAAGTGTATGAGGGCGGCGTTACCATCGTTTGACGAGACTTGGAAACTCCTTGTTTTCTGTAAGACCAGGGTGAGGCATGATACAGCTATGTTAACATAACGACAATTCTGAAATACATACACGCTACTTTTGTCAAGTTGTTCTTTGTCGCAGGACTTTCTAAAATGGTGCGGGAAGGGGTGTTGGTACCCATGAGTCACATCCCTTGGGGGTGCCAGAATCCTATGATTATTCCAAAATCCTGGATTTGTTCTTATTTTTGGGGGGGGGCACGGGTGGCCCAGTCGTCTAAGGCGCTGCGATGCGCTGTGCAGAGTTGTGTCCCTTGGGCACGCCAGAAACCTATGATTGTGGGTTCGAATCCTGGTTCGCCCCGATTATATTTCTAGGTTTGTCAGCACCATACCCGTGCTCGTGGGTTTCACCAAAGTGGTTAAAGTCTGAGACCTGTATCACTTCGGGCTTTCCTCCCACATTAAGCTGCACGCCATGATATAACTGGAATACTGTTAAAAGCGACGTTAAACCCAACCCACTCACTCACTCACTCACTCTTATTTTGATCCTTTTTTTGTCAGCACCCATGCTTGTGGGTTTCACCAAAGTGGTAAACATCCAGGTTCTGCATCACTTCAAGCATTCCTACCACAATTAGCTGACATGCCATGGCATAACTGAAATGCTGTTCAAAACACCACATTCACTCACTCACTCTAAAGTAAGGATTGGGTGGCCACTTTGCCTAAATGTCATTTGTTTGCCTGGCCTGATTATTTACAGACCACCTGGGATATTGGTGACTGGTGAAAAAACACATCAACTCACTCAAGGGTTGTTTACATGTTTTATGGCCTGTACATCACCACCATTCTTTGTGATGAGTTAGGTTCAAGTCTGTGAATGTGACACAGCTTATGTCATTGTTTTCTATCAAACCAGTCAATATATTTTTACAGCTGCAGAAATCCGCCACCCCAGATGAAGCACTGATGACAAAGGTTAGTCTCAAGTCAGAATAGATCCCTAGTACCCCACGTTTGTATCCCAAAGGGGCAGTCTGTTCCAGAATAGGCCCCCACTACCCCATGCTTGTCTCCCTCGTGGGGAGATTGTTCCAGAATTAGCCCCCACTACCCCATGCTTGTCTCCCTCATGGGGAGAAAGTTCAAGAATAAGTCCCCACTATCCCATGCTTGTCTCCCTCGTGGGGAGACTGTTCCAGAATAGGCCCCCACTATCCCATGCTTGTCTCCCTCGTGGGGAGATTGTTCCAGAATTAGCCCCCACTACCCCATGCTTGTCTCCCTCATGGGGAGAAAGTTCAAGAATTAGCCCCCACTACCCCATGCTTGTCTCCCTCGTGGGGAGACTGTTCCAGAATAAGTCCCCACTATCCCATGCTTGTCTCCCTCATGGGGAGAAAGTTCAAGAATAAGTCCCCACTACCCCATGCTTGTCTCCCTCGTGGGGTGTCTGTTCCAGAATAAGTCCCCACTACCCCATGCTTGTCTCCCTCATGGGGAGAAAGTTCAAGAATAGGTCCCCACTACCCCATACTTGTCTCCCTCGTGGGGTGTCTGTTCGAGAATAAGTCCCCACTACCCCATGCTTGTCTCCCTCATGGGGAGAAAGTTCAAGAATAAGTCCCCACTACCCCATGCTTGTCTCCCTCGTGGGGAGTCTGTTCCAGAATAGGTCCCCACTACCCCATACTTGTCTCCCTCGTGGGGAGTCTGTTCGAGAATAGGTCCCCACTACCCCATACTTGTCTCCCTCGTGGGAGTCTGTTCCAATATAAGTCCCCACTACCCCATGCCTGTCTCCCTCGTGGGAGTCTGTTCCAGAATAAGTCCCCACTACCCCATACTTGTCTCCCTCGTGGGGAGTCTGTTCGAGAATAGGTCCCCACTACCCCATACTTGTCTCCCTCGTGGGAGTCTGTTCCAGAATAGGTCCCCACTACCCCATGCTTGTCTCCCTCGTGGGAGTCTGTTCCAGAATAAGTCCCCACTACCCCATACTTGTCTCCCTCGTGGGAGTCTGTTCCAGAATAAGTCCCCACTACCCCATACATGTCTCCCTCGTTCTAGAATAAGTCCCCACTACCCCATACTTGTCTCCCTCATGGGCAGTCTGTTCCAGAATAAGTCCCCACTACCCCATGCCTGTCTCCCTCGTGGGGAATCTGTTCCAGAATAAGTTCCCACTACCCCATGCCTGTCTCCCTCGTGGGGAGTCTGTATTGTTCCCAAGCTTGTTATAAGAGCTGACCAATCAGGATCTGATGGTTTAATACAATGTATGGCGTCACTGTAGGGCTGGGATGGGTACCTCGGGTACTTGGGCTGGATGGGTACTGAGTAGGACCAGGGTACCCAAAGGACTACCCAGACCCGTGGTTAGTCATGTGATATATTTTTCATGACAAAAGTTCACCTTAACTACACAAATCACTTATGTTCGCATTTCTTCATGACTATGATCGCATTCATTTTGACTTATATATGTTTGAATAAAGATAAAACTTCAGTCAACTTCAGTGTATATGCATGAGCAGATCGTTTTATACATGCATCTAAATACATTTTGCTGAGGCTACTGTAAAACTATTCCCAATCGGACATTTTGTACCTATATTTTGAAACCAACAGTGGGTACCCGGGTAGGGTCGGGTAATAGGGGTGTGGGTACCCGGGTTGTAAATTTGGACTCGTCCCAGCCCTACGTGACTGCCCTATGTCATCTAGCCCTGTATAGTTGCTGACGCTACTAACCAGCCAGAAGACTGCTGACTAGTGTAAAACAACATTTACTCTCTAGAGGTATGATTTAGCCATTATTGATGACAATAGACATGTTTCTATATCCACCCTTTCCCTTTTTTCCAGTTACTGAGCACTGAGGGGCGTCTCATTACCTACAGATATATTTATGGATCAAATAAACACAGGTAACCGTGGTAACAGGCACTTGCTGCTCTTAATTGGGTGGTCAGACTTGGTAATTGCTTGTGATATCAATCTCTTGATTGTCTGGTCCAGACTCAAGTGCTTACAGGCCATCATATATCTGGAATATGGCTGTGTGCTGCATAAAAGAACAAAACCACAAAGACACACAATGTGAGACCAAGCTGTTTCATTGTGCCGTGATGGAGTGGATCGTTGGGCTTGTTCTCAAGCACTGATTTACTTGGTCCTCAATAGCTGAGGCTTAAAAAGAGAAAAGAATTGGTTCTCAGGCAATTGCTTTTGAAAATATAGTGCGGGTGGGCGGTGTTTTTTTTTGTTCAAACTAGTATGTTACCAAAAAAACAGTTGTGTAACCAGATACTATCAACCTGGGAAAGGTCCTCCGGACATAAAAGTATTCCTTGATGATTAAATTACTGGAATACAGTATTTGGCTGGAATATTTAAGGATATTTTTTAAATTTTTAAATGGAAATAAATATGAAACGTGTGGTGAACTTTATGATGCCTGAGAACCAAGACTATTTTCTTTTAACCTTATGTACATGCTGGCATGGTAATAGCTGGACTATTTCTGACTGTGGTGTAAAACAACATTCACTCACTGATTGTGTTACCATAGTTACAGAGCCGATACCTGGGAATACTTCTCTAGGATGGACACCCTGAAGGAATGTCTGAGATCAATGCGGGACGGCAACTCACACATGGCATTCACACTGTGGACCAGACACCAGGTAGGAGGGACTGTAGACAGACACCAGGTGGGAGGGACTGTGGACAGACACCAGGTAGAAGGGACTGTGGACAGACACCAGGTGACAGGGAGTGTGGACAGACACCAGGTGGGAGGGACTGTGGACAGATACCAGGTGGGAGGGACTGTGGACAGACACCAGGTGACAGGGAGTAAGGACAGACACCAGGTGGATGGGACTGTGGACAGACACCAGATTGGAGGGAGTGTGGACAGACACCAGGTGACAGGGAGTGTGGACAGACACCAGGTGGGAGGGACGGTGGACAGACACCAGGTGGGAGGGACTGTGGACAGATACCAGGTTGGAGGGACTGTGGACAGACACCAGGTAGGTGGGACTGTGGACAGACACCAGGTGGGTGTGACTGTGGACAGACACCAGGTGACAGGGAGTGTGGACAGATACCAGGTGGGTGTGACTGTGACAGACACCAGGTGGGTGGGACTGTGACAGACACCAGGTAGGTGGGACTGTGGACAGACACCAGGTGGGTGTGACTGTGGACAGACACCAGGTAGGTGGGACTGTGGACAGACACCAGGTGGGAGGGACTGTGGACAGACACCAGGTAGGTGGGACTGTGGACAGACACCAGGTGGGTGTGACTGTGGACAGACACCAGGTGACAGGGAGTGTGGACAGATACCAGGTGGGTGCGACTGTATCAGACACCAGGTGGGAGGGACTGTGGACAGATACCAGGTGGATGTGACTGTGACAGACACCAGGTGGATGTGACTGTGACAGAAACCAGGTGGGTGGGACTGTGGACAGACACCAGGTAGGTGGGACTGTGGACAGACACCAGGTGGGTGTGACTGTGGACAGATACCAGGTGGGTGTGACTGTGGACAGACCCCAGGTGGGAGGGAGTGTGGACAGATACCAGGTGGGTGGGACTGTGGACAGACACCAGGTGGGAGGGAGTGTGGACAGACACCAGGTGACAGGGAGTGTGGACAGACACCAGGTGGGTGTGACTGTGGACAGATACCAGGTGGGTGTGACTGTGGACAGACCCCAGGTGGGAGGGAGTGTGGACAGACACCAGGTGGGTGTGACTGTGGACAGACCCCAGGTGGGAGGGAGTGTGGACAGACACCAGGTGGGTGTGACTGTGGACAGACACCAGGTGAAAGGGAGTGTAGACAGACACCAGGTGACAGGGAGTGTGGACAGATACCAGGTGGGTGGGACTGTGGACAGACACCAGGTGAAAGGGAGTGTAGACAGACACCAGGTGACAGGGAGTGTGGACAGATACCAGGTGGGTGTGACTGTGGACAGACACCAGGTGGGAGGGAGTGTGGACAGACACCAGGTGGGAGGGACTGTGGACAGATACCAGGTGGGTGTGACTGGACAGACACCAGGTGGGTGGGACTGTGACAGACACCAGGTTGGTGTGACTGTGGACAGACACCAGGTGGGTGGGACTGTGACAGACACCAGGTAGGTGGGACTGTGGACAGACACCAGGTGGGTGGGACTGTGACAGACACCAGGTGGGTGGGACTGTGACAGACACCAGGTTGGTGTGACTGTGGACAGACACCAGGTGGGTGGGACTGTGACAGACACCAGGTAGGTGGGACTGTGGACAGACACCAGGTGGGTGGGACTGTGACAGACACCAGGTGGGTGGGACTGTGGACAGACACCAGGTGGGTGTGACTGTGGACAGACACCAGGTAGGTGGGACTGACAGACACCAGGTGGGTGGGACTGTGACAGACACCAGGTGGGTGTGACTGTGGACAGACACCAGGTAGGTGGGACTGTGGACAGACACCAGGTGGGAGGGACTGTGGACAGACACCAGGTAGGTGGGACTGTGGACAGACACCAGGTGGGTGTGACTGTGGACAGACACCAGGTGACAGGGAGTGTGGACAGATACCAGGTGGGTGCGACTGTATCAGACACCAGGTGGGAGGGACTGTGGACAGATACCAGGTGGATGTGACTGTGACAGACACCAGGTGGATGTGACTGTGACAGAAACCAGGTGGGTGGGACTGTGGACAGACACCAGGTAGGTGGGACTGTGGACAGACACCAGGTAGGTGGGACTGTGGACAGACACCAGGTGGGTGTGACTGTGGACAGACACCAGGTGACAGGGAGTGTGGACAGACACCAGGTGGGTGTGACTGTGGACAGATACCAGGTGGGTGTGACTGTGGACAGACCCCAGGTGGGAGGGAGTGTGGACAGATACCAGGTGGGAGGGAGTGTGGACAGACACCAGGTGGGAGGGAGTGTGGACAGACACCAGGTGACAGGGAGTGACAGACACCAGGTGGGTGTGACTGTGGACAGATACCAGGTGGGTGTGACTGTGGACAGACCCCAGGTGGGAGGGAGTGTGGACAGACACCAGGTGGGTGTGACTGTGGACAGACACCAGGTGGGAGGGAGCGTGGACAGACACCAGGTGGGTGTGACTGTGGACAGACACCAGGTGAAAGGGAGTGTAGACAGACACCAGGTGACAGGGAGTGTGGACAGATACCAGGTGGGTGGGACTGTGGACAGACACCAGGTGAAAGGGAGTGTAGACAGACACCAGGTGACAGGGAGTGTGGACAGATACCAGGTGGGTGTGACTGTGGACAGACACCAGGTGGGTGTGACTGGACAGACACCAGGTGGGTGTGACTGTGGACAGACACCAGGTAGGTGTGACTGTGGACAGACACCAGGTGGGTGAGACTGTGACAGACACCAGGTGGGTGGGACTGTGACAGACACCAGGTGGGTGTGACTGTGGACAGACACCAGGTGGGAGGGACTGTAGACAGACACCAGGTGGGAGGGAGTGTGGACAGACACCAGGTGGGAGGGACTGTGGACAGACACCAGGTGACAGGGAGTGTGGACAAACACCAGGTGGGAGGGAGTATGGACAGATACCAGGTGGGTGTGACTGTGGACAGACACCAGGTGACTGGTGACAGGGAGTGTGGACAAACACCAGGTGGGAGGGACTGTGGACAGATACCAGGTGGGTGTGACTGTGGACGGACACCAGGTGAAAGGGAGTGTGGACAGACACCAGGTGACAGGGAGTGTGGACAGATACCAGGTGGGTGTGACTGTGGACAGACACCAGGTGGTAGGGAGTGTGGACAGACACCAGATGGGAGGGAGTGTGGACAGATACCAGGTGGGAGGGAGTGTGACAGACACCAGGTAGGTGGGACTGTGACAGACACCAGGTAGGTGGGACTGTGACAGACACCAGGTAGGTGTGACTGTGGACAGACACCAGGTGGGTGGGACTGTGACAGACACCAGGTAGGTGTGACTGTGGACAGACACCAGGTAGGTGTGAATGTCGACAGACACCAGGTGGGTGGGACTGTGACAGACACCAGGTGGGTGTGACTGTGGACAGACACCAGGTGACTGGTGACAGGGAGTGTGGACAAACACCAGGTGGGTGTGACTGGACAGACACCAGGTGGGAGGGAGTGTGGACAGACACCAGGTAGGAGGGACTGTGGACAGACACCAGGTGACAGGGAGTGTGGACAGACACCAGGTGGGTGTGACTGTGGACAGACACCAGGTGACAGGGAGTGTGGACAGACACCAGGTGGGAGGGACGGTGGACAGATACCAGGTGGGTGTGACTGTGGACAGACACCAGGTGGGAGGGACTGTAGACAGACACCAGGTGGGAAGGAGTGTGGACAGACACCAGATGGGAGGGACTGTGGACAGACACCAGGTGACAGGGAGTGTGGACAAACACCAGGTGGGAGGGAGTATGGACAGATACCAGGTGGGTGTGACTGTGGACAGACACCAGGTGACTGGTGACAGGGAGTGTGGACAAACACCAGGTGGGAGGGACTGTGGACAGATACCAGGTGGGTGTGACTGTGGACGGACACCAGGTGAAAGGGAGTGTGGACAGACACCAGGTGACAGGGAGTGTGGACAGATACCAGGTGGGTGTGACTGTGGACAGACACCAGGTGGTAGGGAGTGTGGACAGACACCAGGTGGGAGGGAGTGTGGACAGATACCAGGTAGGAGGGACTGTGGACAGATACCAGGTGGGTGGGAGTGTGGACAGACACCAGGTGGGTGTGACTGTGGACAGACACCAGGTGGGTGGGACTGTGGACAGATACCAGGTGGGAGGGACTGTGGACAGATACCAGGTTGGTGTGACTGTGGACAGATACCAGGTTGGTGTGACTGTGGACAGACACCGGGTGGGAGGGACTGTGGACAGACACCAGGTGGGAGGGAGTGTGGACAGACACCAGGTGGGTGTGACTGTGGACAGACACCAGGTGGGAGGGAGTGTGGACAGACACCAGACGGGAGGGAGTGTGGACAGACACCAGGTGGGTGTGACTGTGGACAGACACCAGGTGGGTGTGACTGTGGACAGACACCATGTTGGTGTGACCGTGGACAGACACCAGGTGGGAGGGACTGTGGACAGACACCAGGTTGGTGTGACTGGACAGACACCAGGTGGGAGGGAGTGTGGACAGACACCAGGTAGGAGGGACTGTGGACAGACACCAGGTGACAGGGAGTGTGGACAGACACCAGGTGGGAGGGAGTGTGGACAGATACCAGGTGGGTGTGACTGTGGACAGATACCAGCTGGGTGTGACTGTGGACAGACACCAGGTGACCGGTGACAGGGAGTGTGGACAGACACCAGGTGGAAGTGACTGTGGACAGACACCAGGTGACAGGGAGTATGGACAGACACCAGGTGGGAGGGACTGTGGACAGATACCAGGTAGGTGGGACTGTGGACAGACACCAGGTGGGAGGGACTGTGGACAGATACCAGGTGGGTGGGACTGTGGACAGACACCAGGTAGGTTGGACTGTGGACAGACACCAGGTGGGTGTGACTGTGGAAAGATACCAGGTGGGTGTGACTGTAGACAGACACCAGGTGACTGGTGACAGGGAGTGTGGACAGACACCAGGTGGGT